CGTGCAAGACGTCAATTACACCTAAACTAATGTCAGCTTTCGACTCGGTGATGCTTTCCGAGTTGAACAAGCTCAATAATAATGGCAATGTTATAGACAATAGAGCAACGCAGAAGTTAGGAAACGCAACAACCCACGTGCCGGACGAGCGCAGTGTGAATGCATAAATACTTTTGATTGGGTCAGATCGCGTAAATATATAAATGTGCCGTTAAATCCGCCACCACCACCCGACACAGCCAATAAGTAAGGTTTGTCACGTAAACAGAAACGTGCCAATTCGTCACTAGTCCAGCACTAACCGGTTGTGTGTTGGAGAGCCAAGCCATATTTACCCGATCATACCCCCCCCCCCCCCCAATAAAAAAACACACCTGTATTACGGATGATATTGGTCGCGAAAGCCCCCTACGTGTTAAACTGCGTATAAACGATTCCCTTGGGTGATTCACTGCCACAGAGCGAGGAGTTAGTTGCCCGTTGCAGTGAGGCAAGGGCATCGCTGCGACCTACCGCACGCCGCCACGGTGAGCAGCCACGCGTAGAGCTTCATGGTGAGGCAAGGGAGCAGCGGCTGTGGTTCTCTGGGGGCGCCGAGGAGGGACACTCGAAGGCTGTGGCCAGGGCGCTTGCTTAAATAGGGTCCCAAAAGCACTTTGGTCGGCCAACCAGCAACAGCAACCACGCTCACTGCCCCTCTGCGCACTCGTGGCGCACACATTCCTCCCGCCTGCCAGAAAATTCCACTTCATTGCAACTGTGTACTGACCACTGTTTACTTGCAAACATTGGTCGAGTTAATCTACTGCGATTAAAGGATTGCAATTAAGGGGAAACTTGTAGTCATTTTACAGGAAACCCACCAAAGAAAAAAAACTGTCTGCTTTGTTAAGCCACGTTCTCGTCGGTGTCAGCGATGTTCTGTGAGCAATATACATATCGCTTTGGTGATCTGTACCTAGGATACGTGGATTTTTGTGCCTTTTTTGTTTGTTATTCTTGGTTCTTTTGGTAAAGTCACGTTGATAGGAAATCAAATGTAAATAATGAATACAAATTTAAACATAATCAATTGAAAATAATAAAAGAAAAAAAACTCAAGACCGCTTGTGTTGCGATCGAAACGTCGTGGGTGTTTTTGCTTTTAATATTTAAAATTTCTTATTTTTATTTATTTTCTTATTTTTATTTCCTATCTACGTGACTTTACCGAAATAACCAAGAATATGAATTCCTGCAGTCACGAAAGTTTTAATTTTTTCTGTTGTTGTTCATTCAAGGCTTATTATTCAAATTGTAACCAATTATATTAGTTTGTTACAAGAATAATACATTTCCCCTCCCCTAAAAAAAAAAATATACCAGCGCCGCTTTTGATAAAAAGTGAAAAGTGCGCTCCTGTTTCTGTCTTTCATCTTCTCGTTTTCACACCATTACGGAATAATAATACTTACTCTATTCAGTTAATTTGTGTGACAACAGTTTATTTTTATTTTTGGACATCGAATAGGAATTGAAATAAAAAAGCGGAATCCGCTTTTAATTTGAACTCAGTACAGTTTCACTTTTGCTCGCACTCATAGTGACAATTTGTGAAAATTAGCGATCAATTAGAAAGTCACTGGTTTCAAATTGACATCGATTCAGAATCCAGTAAGTTATTGTAACTGAGTGCAAATTCATTTTGGGAAAAACGACTGCTCAGATTTTTTGCGAAAATTTGTGAAAATTAGTGAACCATCTCCTTCCTGTTTATAGTTTACTTTATTAAAGTAACATCAATAATAATGAAACCATCCCTACAGCACATTTGCAACAAACATAAGTTGAGAACCAAGTGGTTATACATTTTTATTCACTCTCACGGGTGAGAAAAACTAAAAGTTTGGGAAAAAATGTTTGCATTGAAACATTCCATTCCTAACAGAAAGGTAACTCAAACAGCTCTTAACAACGCTGCTACGTTTCGATTTAAAGCTTTCGTGACTGCAGGGATTCATATTATTGGTTCTTTCGGTAAAGTCACGTAGAAGGTAAATAATAAAATAATAAAAATAAAACAATAACATTCTCACGGCGTTTTGATTGCAACACAAGCACTCATCATCAGGTGTGAAAACCACAGCGTCGTGATAATTTGTTTTATTTGTATTATTTTCCTTCTACGTGACTTTACCGAAAGAACCAAGAATAACAACGCTAGTACGATAAAGGTGGTTTATAACTGTAACTCTTTAGTCACAGGTTTGTAATAAATGACTCTCAGAAGGAGTAAATTACATTCCAGCGCATCACATTCACTACTTTGGATTTCATTAGGATACACCCGGAAGGGTCTGCAGAGAGAGAGAGAGACTTTGACTTGTAAACAACTTTTATTGCCGCCAGCAGCAACAGCACTGGAGGCGATTCCGATGTGAAACACACAAAGTCACCAGCAACAACACAAATAAACAAGTTTTCAAGTTTAATTTATTAGGTATAGCCCTGTGAGCCATGCGGCTCTTCAGTCGGGTGCAACCGCAACAAACAAAATTTGAACAGAGAAACGACGCGCAACAGAAACATCTTGGGATAAACCAGCAAATCTTCCAGAATAAAAACCCACCGTATTACAACGCTGTGTGCAAAAACACACTATATATCGAGAGAGAGAGAGACACTGGATCAAGATGGGGACTCAAACACTGGATCGTTCACGACGTGAAATCACAGAAACACTATACATCGAGAGAGAGAGAGACACTGGATCAAGATGGGGACTCAAACACTGGATCGTTCACAACGTGAAATCACAGAAACACTATACATCGAGATAGAGAGAGACACTGGATCAAGATGAGGAATCAAACACTGGATCGTTCACTACGTGAAATCACAGAAACACTATACATCGAGAGAGAGACACTGGATCAAGATGGGGAATCAAACACTGGATCGTTCACGACGTGAAATCACAGAAACACTATACATCGAGAGAGAGAGACACTGGATCAAGATGGGGACTCAAACACTGGATCGTTCACGACGTGAAATCACAGAAACACTATACATCGAGAGAGAGAGAGACACTGGATCAAGATGGGGAATCAAACACTGGATCGTTCACGACGTGAAATCACAGAAACACTATACATCGAGAGAGAGACACTGGATCAAGATGAGGAATCAAACACTGGATCGTTCACGACGTGAAATCACAGAAACACTATACATCGAGAGAGAGAGAGAGACACTGGATCAAGATGGGGAATCAAACACTGGATCGTTCACGACGTGAAATCACAGAAACACTATACATCAAGAGAGAGAGAGAGACACTGGATCAAGATGGGGACTCAAACACTGGATCGTTCACGACGTGAAATCACAGAAACACTATACATGGAGAGAGACACTGGATCAAGATGGGGACTCAAACACTGGATCGTTCACGACGTGAAATCACAGAAACACTATACATCGAGAGAGAGAGAGACACTGGATCAAGTTGGGGAATCAAACACTGGATCGTTCACGACGTGAAATCACAGAAACACTACATCCATGCGTAACATCGCCGTTTCAATAGGGCGACACAAGCTGTCTGTGTGTGTTTGGGGCCGTCCATAAATGACGCCACGCACCTAAGGAAGGGGGGGAGGGGTCAGACATTTGTGACGATGTGTGACGAGGGGGGGGGGGGGTTTGAGAAATGTGACGTCACATTAAATTGCGCAACTTTAAATAAATATAAACAACACGTTCTACTTAATTAAATAGACTTTTTAATAAATGTTTTCTCCTACAACATCAGAGTGCAGCGCCACATTAAATACGCACTACAATGACAACAATAGTTTAAAGCGATTTGAAGCATTTTGGGGGGGAGGGGCAGAGCTTTGTGACGTCATATTTGAGGGGGGGTCTGACTTTTTGTGACGTCGTGTGACGAGGGAGGGGGGTCAAAAAATCGCGTGACGTCATTTATGGACGACCCCTGTGTTTTTGCCTTGTAGTGGCACCTTGTAGGATGAACGTTGAGATTGATAAGGGCACGGGATGGCTAATAATGGCTGAATTGATCTGTGATAAGGTAGGGGGGGGCACTGACAAGGGGTTGACAGGGAGGCGGACGCTGTAAACATGAAACTTAGAGTAATGAGACGATCGTCCTATACTTATGCGTACTTGGGAATCAACTCCCGTGTGCGTATCTACACTATGGAATCTATGTCAAACCTTTGTTCGTGAAATGTATCGCGACGCTCGTGCTATACTTATGCAAGCTGGGAAATCAATTCCCGCGTGAGAATATGAGAATAGGTTTTCCCGGTTTTTTTTCTAGCAACAAAACAGCCGCGTTAAGATGTTAAAACACCGAACTGAAACCTTTTACAAGGTATCACGTCTGCATTAACCGCAATGCTTGTGACGAGGCTTTCAAAGAAAGTTGTCGCTGGTGTGGACCAATCAGTTTCAAAGACAATAATGCATCATTATTATCAGACGTGATTCCTTGTAAAAGGTTTCAGTTTGGTGTTTTAACATCTTAACGCAGCTGTTTTGTTGCCAGAAAAAAAGGGGAAAACCTATTCTCATATGTTGGTTCTCGCCAAAGAGGTAACCATGATGACTTATATGTACAGCACTTTGGAATATCTGAATCGGTTGATGCTAATGCGCATTATGAACTGTATTGATGTCATCCTATACTTATGTACATTACGGAATCAATTTATGCGTTCTAGCACTTGCTCATACACACTACGGAATCAATCCTGCGCGCACTACTTATATGCACTATGGAATAATATAGTAATATGCTAATACGCGTTATGAAATGTATTTCTATCTTCATCCTATACTTATATACATTACGGAATCGATTTGTGCGTGCGCGTACTACTTATACGCATTATGGAATTATATAGCGCGATGCTAATGCGCACTATGAAATACATTGCGACGCTCACGCTATACTTGTACGCAGTGGGGAATGTGAAGCGGAACGCGGCTTCGTGACGACGACGACGATGGCCACGCAGTCGGGCCCGACGCGGCCGGCCTCGGCGGCGAGCGGGGCCGCCCCGCAGGGCCCCGGGCCGAGGGCCGCCTCGCAGGGCCCCGGGCCGAGGGCCCCCCCGCAGGGCCCCGGGGAGCAGCTGGCGGGCAGGGAGCGCTGGGGGCCCGGCGCCCCAGCCATGGCGCTGCTGAGCGAGCGGCAGGGAGACAGTGTGGCGGCGCTGCAGGCGCTGGCGGAGAGCAGAGCCCTTCCCGAGCAGGTAACGAGGAGTAACGAGGTGGTAACGAGGAGTAACGAAGCGGTAACGAGGAGCAACTAGCAGGTAACGAGGCGGTAACGAGGAGTAACGAGCAGGTAACGAGGACAGAATAATCGGTGACGAGGACGACACGGTGAGAATCTTGATTTTAGACTGGAGGCGCAAATCCGATGAACTATGAAGCTCTTTTCCCCGACTGTGCCCCGGTCGGGTAACGAGGAGCCTGCCACGGGAGCCGGAGTTGACACTCCCACACCACCCGAGCGGTAATCGTGGCTCGTAAGTTCCGGTGATTTTAGTGTCACCGGGTGATAACTCCAATACGTAGGGTGCGAAAGAAGTTCGGCGTACGTACAGGGGCCCGAGGCGGCCTTGGGCATTGGTCTGTGGCACACAGTGGCCTACACACGACGTCATGGGCCCTGTCACGCCCGCCGTGGCAAGTAGCACCGCGCTTTACAATTGTTTGTGGTGATTCCACACCGCAGGAATAATAATAATCATCGGGGCGGCCGCTGCATTCGAACCGCGCATCTATTGTGCGGTGCGCGAGAGTGAGCGGTGGCGCCGCGGTTAGCGCACCGCAATGTGGAGCAGCCGGCAAGCCGAGTTCGATCCCCGCTCACGGCCAACACCAGCGAATTCCCCTTGGTTCTGGGCTTCAAATGAGTACCTGGGTGCGGTGTGTAAACATCGCCACTGGGGAGACAAAGGCGGCCGGGCCGTGATGCTGGCCACCCTCGCTGTACCGGCCTTCATAAGGTGCTCGCTACCAGCACTTACTGCTACAGTCTGTTACAGGCTATACGGGGGATCTTTGTCTTTGTTCGACTTGATTGAGCACCTCCTGTGTGTAAACATCAGCACTGGGGAGACAAAGGCGGCAGTGACCGAACACAACCGTCCCTCATCCTGCATTGATAGCTTCTCACTAACACTTGGCCCCAACAGGCTGTTAAAGGCTCTACGCTACCGCTCATGGCCAGCGGTAGCGTAGGGGTTAGCTCACTGCAACTACGAACCCAGGTCCCAAGATCAATTCCCGCTCGCAACCAATAACTGGCGAATATTTGAACTCGTCACGGGGCTGCCCTAGGTCGACTCAGCCTTGAATGTGTCCTTGGTGTAGCGTGTAAAGCATCAGTGCTGGTGAGACAAAGGAGGGCCACTCGTGGTCTTGGAAACTCACCCCCATTATGTGCCATGTCTGCTCGCTAACAGAACTTTTTCCAACGGCCAGTTCAAGGCTATTGGGAGGGGGGATCTCGGTCCCCCAAATATCACGGCCCACCCTAAACCGCACCCGCACAAACCATGGCAGACGCGGACGCCTGATGCGCGAATGGGAAATGTAAAAATTCTCCAGTGTGCCATCGCAGCGATGCACTCCGCCGCTCCTGACGCGGTTGCCTGGCTTGGCCACCCGATTGTGAAATAGTTGTTGCTCTGCATCTGCATCATCCATGCGAAAGAAGAAGGAGTGGGGCGATCGTTGTTGTTGTGTGCGCACGTGTCCCTCCGGTAGCTGCCCCTGGAGGAGCTGACGAGGCTGCCCAGCCGCCCCTTGCAGCTGCCGGCGCCCCTGGCCGCGCCCGCGTCTCTCGAGGAGGCCCTGTCCAACGGCTTCCGCTCGCTCGGCATGGAGCACGAGAGGATAGAGACGGCCCAGCAGGTGCCACCAGCCACGCACGCAGCACCAACGCACGAGACACGAGAATTGAGTTGCAATACCCACCCTGCCCCAACAACTCGGCACGTTAAAGGTAGCCAGGCAAATGAAATGTAAATGACCCATTTCTTTGGGCAGACAGCGATATCATGGTGGATGTTTGATGTCACAGTGGTAACACTCTGACCCGCCCCGACTGGACATCTGTGAAAAAGAGCTTTACAGCTCATCGGATTCCTCCGGTATAAATACACTTTCTGATATTTAGGTGCAGAATTACACGAACCATTTCCAAGTTCGTTACTTGATGAAGGTCAAAGCAGTTTGAGCGAAAGGTTGTGCATTGATGTTAAGTTCAGTCATGAAAGGCTTCAAGCCACCGGTGAGGAGCTTTATTGATCAGAATTTGATCAATCCATTGGCATGTATAAATAATAAAATCTCTGTGACCATTAGTCTTTTTCAGGTAGTGGAGGTTAAATTATGAAAAAAATTGGCATTAAACTACCACGTTGCTTACCCCAAAATCGAATATCAATCATTCTGTTGCCTATGAACACCCACGTTAGAAGTTAAAAACCGAACAGGTTTCATCAACACAGTGGCCTTCAAAGGAAAAAAAATAGGCGACGTTTGAGGCAATGGCCCTTCTTCAGAGCACTTACGTAGTCCAGAGATACAGAGGGTTCTCTCCGTGCGAATGAACAACATTGATCACCGCCAATTTTGATCAAATCTCGCAGTGGCCGTGAGAGTTTTCGGCTCACTGAGGAACTGAAACAATAGCAAATAGCGAGTTAAACGCTTCTACACGTGACATTTTGTTTGGCTGTAGGGTGGTGAAGGGTCTTAACGACAACAATGTATGGCCCGGTCATGACGTGGCCTAACCAAAACATGTATTATGAATCATAGGTTTGGCTGCAAAAACCATCGAATTAAAATGACGTAAGGATTCTATTAGCTGATTGAAGAGTGAGTGAGTCGGTCAGCAGTGTGTCGCACACGGGATATTGTATTACGAGGGACGTGTGTATGCTACGTGTTGGTGCTGTGTGTGTTAGTGCTGTGTCGATGCTGTGTGTTAATGCCGAATAGGTTCCGTGTGTCCATGCTGCGCGTCTTGTTGCTGTGCGTCGATGCTGTGTGTAAGTGCTACGTGTGCGTGTTGTGTTGGTACTGTTCGTGTGAGTTCTTTGTGTCACGGTGCTTCGATGTTGGTGCGGTGTGTGGTCAACACGCCCTGTGCATTTGTCCGTGCAGTTCTTCACGTGGTTCTCCAAGGTGCAGGATCAGATCAATGAGGATGAGGATTCCGGCTACAGGTGTGTGTGTGTGTTGTGTGTCGTCCCGCATCAACTCTGGCGCACAACAACCTTCCCCCTGGTGATGGCGTTGTGAACAGTTTAGTGAAGGAGGCCAGACACGCAGAGTCAGAGAAAGGTTAATGAAATTATAATTTAAGGGGGATGCTTTAGATTTTCTGTATATGCTAATAAAGCACGTAGAAGCACTTCAAAGGAGAGAGACCAGGTTAGGTTTCATCATTTTAATAAATGGCTCCTTTCTCTTCACTATGGGACTCAGTGGGAGTGGTTTGATCGGTCAATGAGACTCTGCAATTGGCTTCTCATTGGGGGCAGATCAACTGTGCAGCATGTTTAGATGTTGTTGTAATTGACCCAGACGCTTATTTGATACGCACCTCCGATTACCACGATTGGCAACGTACCGTGCGAAAGAAGTTCAACATACTATGTACATGTTTTTACTTTTACTTGTTCGATGATTGAGTAATTTGCAGTTTAACGGTTCACATTTTTTGCAAATTTGGACAATGACGCAGGCACACATTGGCCTCCTCTTGCGAATGACGTCACGGGATCTATAACGCCCGCTGTGAAGCAGATGGCACGCATTTTTACGATAAATACATCCACATGGGCGGCCGCTGAATTGGAACTCCGAACTTCTGCTATAAGCAGCGAACACCCTACCGCTGGGGCCTGTCACCGCTGAATAGAGCGATGTCACCGCTCCATATATATGGGCGCCGCGGTGGCGAGATGTTAACTACCCCGCCTCTTATGCAGGAAGTCGTGGGTTCCATCACCAGCCTGATTCCTGAATATTTGGAATTTGCATGTTCTCCCCACACATGGATTTTTCTCCAGGTCCTCTGGTTTTTCCCTCCACGTTTAGAATCAACATGTGTTTAGAGTGTTTTTCTGCTGTCAATTTCCACGTGATAAGCCACTTCGTTGCGTTATCAATTGTGGCCAGGTCGCTTCTGAAAAAGAGCTATGTCGCGCAGTGGGAGGGACTTACCTGGCAAAATAAAAAAAAAATAGTTGAGTTTTATATACTGGACATCTGTAAAAAAGAGTTTCATAGCTCTTTGGATTTCTCCAGGAAAAATAACGATTCTCATTCCGATATCAACCCGGAGCGCATTGCGGAGTGGCTATGACTGACGTGCGTGACCACCGCCCGCGCCCCCTCCGCAGGCACGTGCGCGAGTCCCTGTACGGCTACAGCGAGCAGTGCGACGCGATGCTGCACGACGTCGACCTGGCGCTGCGGGAGCTGCAGCTGCTGGAGCAGCAGTACGTGCTCGTGTCCACCAAGACCGGGGCGCTGCACTCGGCCTGCGAGGAGCTGCTCATGCAGCAGGCACGGGACCCCACGCGGTGGTGGTGACACGCGGCACGCGGGCTCTCCGTACAACACACGCTAGTTTCCCAGCGGGCACACAGGCCGTAGGAAACTGTACGCGCCTGTCTCATTTGTGGTTCATCGTTAAAGATCACATCGTTAGCAAACGAAGGCCATTGTGTGCCGGTGCTGTGGTCCTGTTTTGGCAAACTAAATATAAACCCCTGCAAATTGCTCACTTTGACCGTACTGTACATAGCAATCATCGTGCCCTGGCGCAACAACTCTCCTGAAAAAGAGTATTGAGAGGCATGCTTTCCTGACTAAATATGGATAATCACATAATTACAATGAATAGTGACCACTGCCGGTCCCTGTGTTTCCCCGCCATGTGCAGTCCAAGCTCGTGGAGCTGGCAGAAGACATCCAACAGAAGCTGTCTTACTTCAACGACCTGGAGAATATCAGCACGGTGCGTGCGGTGCCGCCAATAGAACGCCCCGGCGGTTCCCCCACTCACGACGGAACGGGTTGTGTAATCGACAAAAGTCCGCTCGTCAGAAGCGAGCCAGGCATTCTTACTCTATTCCAGCCTTGACTACGGTTGTAGTGGTGGTCATCAGTGGTGGTGACGGCGGTTGTGGTACAGCGGGGAGTGGTGGTGTAGCGGTTAGCGAGCTGCGCTACGAACCCGACGACCCCGGCCAACACTAGTGACATATCTGAACCGGTCTTGGGCCTCCCCTCAAATGAGTACGTAGTGCGGTGTGTAAACATCGCCACTGGGCAGACAAAGACGGTCGGGCGTGGTGCTGGCCACCGTCCCCCTCATGTGCTGTTCCGGCCTTCATAGGTGCTTGCTAAAAGCACTTGACGTAACACTTTGTTAAGGCTATATGGGGGATATTTGTCATTTTGTTCTATTGGGGAGTTGACGTTTATTTTGTCTAACCGGGTGGTGAGATCTCAAGAGACCAGGATAGGAGTCTCATTCGCAAGAGTGAACTGGGCCACCCACACCACAAAAGCAAAACAAATAAAATAAATTACAGCAACAAAGTGAATAGAAATGAGAGAAAAAAACAACTTCATCTCATTAGAGATCAAAAATAATAAATCCCTGTGGCGAAAGTCGCTTCGGGCAGATTAGATTTAGATCACAGTAAACTTATAATTTAGTTACATAAAACATTGAATGGATTTAGGGTGACTTGCACCAATGTGTAAACCGACGAGGGGATAACGAGGCAAACGCAATTGCAAGTGAAGTTATAAAATAGTCGACGGTCTGGCATGGAACTGTGATTCCGATGTGTAAAGTAGCCGAGGGAATTGGACGCGATGGAATTTCCAGGTGTTTGGGGGCATTGACACAGAGTGAGTGAGATCCATGCAGGTTTTTGTCCTTGGTAGAATCCACTTTAGTGTTGTGGGGTGTCGTAATATTTTGAAGCTTTTGGTGCTGGATTAACACTGTGAATAGGTAAGGTCCTGAGTCATGCGTGTATGCATTAAATATGAACTTGGGCCAGTGAATCTCCCTCCGAGTTGAAAGATGAGAGGTGGTAGCCGGTCTTAGAGTACAGATCACCGTGGTCACGGGGTGGTCGTGCTGTCGTGTGGTATATTGATGGTCGTGGTTGTCGTGTGCATTGGTTGTTGTATTGTATGGATGTTACACTTGTTGTGGTGTGTGTAGAGAGGTTGCGGTAGTGTGTGGTGGTTTCTAGTTGTAAATCCGGCCAGGTGGCCACGCAGTTCAGCGAGCAGCTCGCAATCGGGAGATCGCGAGTTCAAATCCTGGTTGTGGGGCTTGACTCAGCCCCATAATCCCTCCGGGGTCAATAAAAATGAGTTCCGCCTCATGGACAAGTCAACAATGGATAGAACCCGCCCCCATCATAGGAATGTGGAATTTTTCACCACTGGGTTCAGTGCATCGCCTCAATGCTCACTTTGACTTTTGAGTGGAACTGTGCAACGGCCGTTGTTGAGTTGTTGCTTAAGTCACCACTCCCGTGCCCACCCCCCCCCCCCCCTCGTACCATCCACTTCCTCCGTTGTTTAGAAGCTGAACAACCCCAGCTTGGCCGTGACGAGCGAGGGCTTTGTGGCGACGCTGGTCAAGCTGGACGACTGCATCTCCTACATCTCCTCCCACGTGGGTGTCTCACGGGGGGGGGGGGGGGGGGCACACCTGGGCTGCCACATTTCCCCGCCTCCCTCTTCAGATATCTTCTGTAAATATTTATATATGTATGTATGTGTATATTTGAGCAGCAGGGTGGTGCAGTGGGTAACACTTGTGCCTCATTGCACGGTCGGCTACGTACAGTGCGAACGACGTTCAAACATGCAAGGTGCCTGAGTTCGATTCCCAATTCAGGTGCCTTTCTGTGTGGTGTTTGTCTGTTCTTCCACTGCTCTGCATGAAGTTTCCTCCAGTTTCTCCGCTTTACTTCCAAAAGACAAAAACACCCTCACACAGTGTAACTGGCATTGGCCAAAACATCCCAGTGCAGAAAAAAAAACGCCTGCAAATGACTCCATTGGGATCGCACACACACGCATATATCAGCAACATCGCTAACTTTTGCAACAAAAAACTTGGTAGGACCCTCCTGAAAAGGGTATTTTCGTATATGTGAAAAAATCTAATTAGTTTTAAATAACGTCATTCATACAAATCGCATCTCACAGTCGCTGAGGAACCACAGACACGAGCTGGAAGGCTGCCAGGCGGAGCCGGCGCCGGCAGTTTGCTCTGCAATTAGTTTGTGTTTATACGTGTCAGAGGAAACCAGAGCAGCCGGAGAAACCCACACATGCAAGGAGGCAAGACTCTGTACCATACACAAGGGACAGACGATATTAGTCCACACTTTTCTGTGATGCATTCCGCTGGCAAACCAGGGTATGATGCTCCTTGATGCCCGCTGGAGCGGAGTTTCGCAATATTTGCCATTTGTCCGATACACCAACCCTCGCCTCCATAGTGCTGGAAGAATCGGTGAGACTTCCCTGCACAAAGCAAACACAAGAACATTCATGACTATGCCTTTTAAACACAGCGCCTTGCTGCGCGATACCCCTGCGAAAGAAGATTGGCGCAATTACCAAACGCTCTAATGATTTGACGATGTGATCTCGGTACGTGCGTATGTATGTACGTTGGAACTTTCACACCTTGTACGTAGCCAACCGTGCTAATCGGGAGGTTTGCGGAGGCATGATGCGGTAACCACACCCCGTGTGTCCGGTCCCACGGCCATGGCGTCTCCTCGCACAGCCGGGCTTCAAGGACTTCCCCACGTTCCTGCACAAGCAGCAGCAGTGCCTGTCGCGTGCCCTGCTGCTCATGAGGACCTCCGTCGTGTTCACGCTGCAAAAGCTGACGGCCACGCTCAGCAAGCGGGTGAGTGTGCAGCAGCGTGCTCGCTCGCTCGCCAGCTCGCACAAGTGCTCTCCCATTCGGCGCTCAAGACATGTACAGTTCCATGCTTTTTGTAGGTATGTATGTATGTTTAACTTCTTTCGCACCGTACGTAGCCAACCGTGCTCATCGCAAGTGCTAATAGCACGGTTGGCTACGTACAGACTGCTAGCTGATAGCCACACATGTTCTTAGTCACGTATGTAAAATATTTTCTTACAGTCTGCTTTCTTACAGCAATCTTAAGCCGAATCCAATGCTGAAAAAAAACCCGTGAATTACTCGATTGGGATTACACGCACGGCAACATCGCCCCCTGCTCAGAAAACTTGGCAGGAACCAACGCGAAAAATGGTCTTGAGACTCTGCGAGATTTTCCTGGGTAAACGAGCGTAAATAAATCTAAATAATTTTACTAAAATTATTGTGCTAACGTTTTGACTGGGCCTTGTATCAAAACGCTTTTGTTCATTATTAGCCCACCCTTTAAAATTATGCCGATTGTTATCGGATCCTACGTTGCATCATGGTGTCCTCGATAGCCAGGGTTATCTGCAGGCAGGGTGGCAAACTGAAGCCAGCCATGCCACATGAGTCACCACAGCAAAGGCTGGGTTTTCCCAGACCCCCTAAGCTTCTCTTGGCTGTGTGTGATGCAGGGAAAAACCCGTGCTTGATTAGTGATGGTGTTAGGACTCTGTGTTCTATGAAGCATGTTGACATTTCTGGGAAATTCTGAGTGTTATGCTGACCTGCTCACAAATTGACTCATGCATTTATATAGAGCTTTTTAAACAACCAACTGTCAGTCAAGATTTGGCACGGTTGAGAGAGAGTAAATTTTGCTAAATCAGTCTTCAAAAATTCCAGCTTCCTCCACCGTTTTCCCTCCACAATGCCAAACACTCGTGAATGTGCCAAACAACCTGATTAGGATCCTCCTGCAAAGGAGTCTTGAGACGCAGTGATTGAGGCGTTATTGTTCGCCTTTTGGCGTTGTCCTCTGGTCTAGCACCGTTTGAGACGAGGCTCTAAAGAAAGCTGTCTCTGGTGTGGACCAATCAGTTTCAAAGACAATGCACCATCATCATATACTGTCAGAGCGTGTTTTTTGTTTGTATTTTCACCACAAGAATCTGTGGTTAATGCAGACATGATTCCTTGCAAAAAGTTAAAATTTGGTGTTTTAACATCTTAACACCTGTTTTGTTGCCAGACAAAAGGGGAAAACCTATTCTTATATTTTGACACTGGCAAAGGAGGTCCCATGAAGTAATAGGGATTATTATTATTATTAACCCAATGAGATCGATTTCAAATACCTTCTGCACCAGCATTCAAATGGGGAAGGGTCGTGTTTTTGCTACGACAGTGGTCGTGACTCCGCTTTCCCAAAAGTCTACGTACATGTGTACGTTGAGCTTCTGTCGCACCGTACGTAGCCAACCGTGCTAATCAGAAGTGCAAATCGGTTACGTGACCCCATTACCACCCTCACACACACGAGGGGTGACATTCCAATTGGGGGGTCTACGCGACTCCTCGCCGTCGCGCCCGGCAGACGAACGCAAAACAGACTTTGTTCGGTGCCAGCACGGTGGCGAGATGTTCACCCCCCTCGCTTGGTAGGCTGTCGGTTTTGGGTTCGATTCTGATCCCGATGCCTGTATATTTTGAGTTTGCGTGTCTCTCTCCCCCTGGTCGCATTGATTTGTCTCCGGGTCTTCTGATTTTCCCCTCCGCATTTAGAATTCACGTGCGTTTAAAGTCTTTGGCTGCCACGAATATCCACGTGAAATGAATAGTAATATGATAATAATAATAATAATAATAGGATTTGTGAGCGAGTGGCGGGCATTTGAGGTGTTGCCGCCCCCCCCTTCCACCAGTGAGAGTTCCCCTCCCGTGAGCGTGCGAGCGGTGCGTGCGCGTGTTCCCCGCCGCAGGATGCCACCGTGCCGGTCACGGACGACGGCTTCACGCTCTTCTATGTCAAGTTCCGGGCCGCGGCCCCCAGAGTACGGGTGAGTGAGCGAGCGGTCAGCACGGCCGCCGTCGGTGCCACTCCCGGTAGCCTGAGCCTCGTGGCTCGAAGGCACGAAGGCACGAAGGCATCGTGTCAGCGGGAGGCAGCTTCTTCAACGCTCTCACTTGTTGGCAAAAGGCAATAAAATAAATTAACCAACTAAGATATCTTCTTGGTGCTTTCAGTAAAGTCACCACGTAGAATGGAAATAAAATAATAAAAATAAAACATAATAAAATAACATTGTCACGACGTTTCGGCCACAACACAAGTAGCCTTCTTCAGGTGGAGAAACAGGACTGTCCAGAAGACAACCCCACCTCCGCTGCGGAGGTGGGGCTGGGTAACATGCTAATTCGTATGTTAACTCCGCCCACACAGCTTAAAAGACGAGGTCCATGCTTGGCAGTGTTCACTCAAGCGCTGTCTTCTGGACAGTCCTGTTTCTCCACCTGAAGAAGGCTACTTGTGTTGTGGCCGAAACGTCGTGAGAATTTTATTTTATTGTTTTATTTTTATTATTTTATTTCCATTCTACGTGGCGACTTTACCGAAAGAACCAAGAAGATGAATCCCTGCAGTCACGAAAGCTTTAAATCGAAAAACTAAGATATCGCCAGGTGCCATGAGTCATCACGGTCATTGAGGTTGTCAGCATTATCCTTATCAGTTCACCGAGGATGTGTCTTGCAGCCATTTGGTCTATGAAGTAAATAAGCAGATAAGTCGCCTCTTACATATCTGCCCCTCCACGTGAAAAAAATAAAGTGTTTACACATTTCATCAGCCACATGGTCTTTTGTGAGTGCATCGTTCCAGCAGCGTTGGCTCAACACAAGCAAACTCTAGACCGGTTTCAGCACGCACTGTCTCATCAGTGTGTGTTGTTAGACTTGCTTGAACCAATGATGATGTGATAGACAAGCACCCTCCTCTGTTAGATATAGGTCCATTTGTTTACAGTTGTGCAGGGCAGAGGTTGGATTACCAAGAGTGGAACAATTCAACCTGACGGTGATTCGGTGAATTGTCTCTGTTCAGGCTTGTGATTCGATTCAAGAATCAATGTTTTTAACATTTTAACATTGCGGTGAATGGCTGCACCCCCGAGTGTAGAGACTGGCCCTCGCAATATGAACCTTCTACCCATTGGCTCCAATCCAACAGCAGGAGGAGTGCTGCCCCTCACTTGCTTGTGTGACCTGACTGTGCTCACTGAAGAAGGTTCTTTGGCAATATCGTAGGGTCATTGAGGGCTGGCAGGGTGGCGCGGTGGTTACACTTGTGCCTCACGGCAAGAAGTACCTGGGTTCGATCTGCAACTGGGGCACAGTTCTGTGCGGAGTTTGTATGTTCTCTCCCTGTTCTGTAACGGTTTGCTCAAGGTTCTTCGGTTTCCTCTCAGTGTCAAAAATAAATTAACTTCCCAAGGATGAAAATTACTTGCTAATCAATCAATTCCGGTCATCCTCGCAGCAGCTTTTGGCTGCCATTTAAACAACAATGGCCACAGCATCGCGCGCTCTCAGATGTGCTTCTGCGGTCGTCTGGAATGCTCTTTCTTCTGATACTCGGAAGGCACCGGAGCTCTGCACTTTTAAATAATCTAGATTGAAAACGAATTTCTTTTGAACAATCTTTTGTGATTAGTTTGTTGTCCTTTCCCCGCACCTCCGATTAGCACGGTTGGCTATGTACGGTGCAAAAGAAGTCCAGCATACATATATATACGATTGGGATTACACACATTGCAACAACATTTCCACAGTTGAGATGCAGTGAGTCTTTCGTGGGTAAACCAGCATAGTAAATAATACTACAATGAATTGGCCAAACCTTCCCATGAGGCACCCACCTGGAAAGGTCTTCTCTTCACACTGCTAGACAGACAGAGAACATTGTTATTGATGTTGATTGATGGTGGCGATGATGATGATCTTTCCACTCTACGTGTTCCCCCTTAGAGCCTGATTGAGCAGATAGAGCAGCGCTCGGAGAAGAGTCAAGAGTGAGTAACTTAATTCGCCCACTTGTTGTTTAAACATGTACATTGTGCACTTTCTTTGTGGATTGTGCGTCGTAAAATAATAACACAAAGGTCTGTTCCGCCGTGTAAAAATATAAAATTACATTTGTTTCCATCACCGCGCCTGCCTGACGTTAAGAAACACGGCGGCATTTGTTTTAATTTGGCTGCACTCTGCTGCTGAGGCTCACATAGCCCTAATTGGTCCCAACTTTGCTGCTAAAACAAATACTGCTTAGTCCAGAAGGCCCATAGGTTTATGGACTAATGCGTTCTGCTATACATTTGTATAATTGTTGCATTGCACATTTGCCAGTTTTTTTCCCCCCGATTTGGTTACTTGCAATGCAAAAAACTGATTTTGCACCGATTTTACCTGCCGTGCATCAGGTACCAGACATGCCTGACCGACATCCACCTGTGCTACCTGGAGCAGAGGGACGCGCTGCTGAGGCCCAGCATCTCCGCCACCATCGGCGAGATGACGCAGCACAGCGTGCGCGACCACTGCGCGCTGGTACGTGCCCCTCCTCCTCCCCGCCCCCATATGTGAACGTTAGTGTGAACCTGTGAGTGTGAACGTGTGAGTGTGAACCCGTGAGCCTGTGTGAACCCGCAAGTGTGCACCCGTGAGTGTATGTGAACGTGTGAATGTGAACACACGAGTGTGAACCCATGAGTGTGAACCTGTGAGCGAGTGTGAACCTGTGAGCGAGTGTGAACCCACGAGTGTGATCCTGCGAGTGTGTGGCAGGGATGATTAAATATCGCCTTGCCAGACATGCTCAGGGAAGCTTGTGGAGCCCCAATGCGGTTTCAGACCTAGCCCGTCCTGCATGGATGCCGTTTTCTCTCTCCGTGTGCTACAGCAGAGGTGTAGGGAATTTCACCAGGATCTACATCACTGCTGTATTTAACTGGTCAAGGCCCATGATACCATAAATATGCCAGGGCTCTGGGTTGTTCTTCTTGCTTTCAGTGTCCCAAACCGCCTGCTCACAATCATCAAGGACCTTTAAGGTGGTGAGCAGACCCGGCTAAATTTGCGTGGCCAGGTGTCTCGAGCCATTTTCTGATCACCTTGGGGTGCGACAGGGATGCCCTCTGGCACCTACACTGTTTAACATTTTTTTTACCACATAGTTTGAGAAGCTTTCCATGGATGTACCGGTGGAATTTTTATCTAATATAGATACCATTGGAGGCTGATCGATGCCCGGGTGCGGTCAAGGGATCGCTCCCTATTGGTCAACCATATGTAAGCGGATGATCTGGCGATTGCTTCCCACTTTGAGAAGAAGTTGGAGATGCTACTGCTCAACTTGGGGCATGATATTAACAGATGGGGCCCTACCATCAGTCCCATGAAATACTCCATCCCCTCAACTCCCCATTGGTGATGAGGCAGTTGTGGCGAGAGTGGATAGGTTTCCATACCTGGGCAGTGTGCTTATGACCCGCTCCGGTTTGACACCAGAGGTCTCACTCTGAATCAGTCGAGCAGCATTATATTTTGATCGACTGCGTAATGCTGTGTGGAAGCTAACTGGTCTTTTTTTTCCACACGAAGCTTCGGGTCTTTTCGGCCACAGTTATGCCCTTCCTTCTCTACGCTTGCGAAAGTGTACCCTCTCATGTAACATATGCACCGGTTAGAAATATTCAAGCTGGCCTGCCTAATTTCCATCCTGGGTTTTAACCAGGCTAGATTGTGTGAGGAGCTCACAAATCATTGAAAGATCTGGACACAGTCCCATCAGTGACCTTCTTCGGCAGCCAAAGCTGCATTGGCTGGGACGTTCAGCCAGAATGCCCAGCCAACGCATACCCAAACAGCTTTTGTGTGGCCAGATAATGGGGGCTAAACGGGTGTGGTACGAGCTAGAGAAGAGATAGACTGATGTGGATCTGATTACACTTGCTGATGATTGGTACCAGCGGTGTCAAGTTTGTGCTCTGTGAAGGAGGCTCCTGAAGGACACTCGTGGGCAGTTCGAGGCAGTCATCCTCCAACAACAGTGTAGGGCAGAGGAGCGACGCTCACAAGAACTAACCAAATACCGGGCGGTTGAAACGCAGAAATTTGGCAAAGTAGGCGACACAGATGGTGCATCTCCCAGTAATTTAAGCTGGTCAACCCATGGTGCCTTGGTCTGTTCCATGACCTGCTAGCAAGCCTGCGACACTTCACATGGCCTTAAAGTGCACATAACCTGGCACAAGTGCCGTGGTGACGTCACCGCCACTTAGTGGCGAAGGGCGGGTATTGTGTTTGTGTTGACATGCGTGTTGACGTGTGTGTGTGTTTGTGTTGTTGTCGTGTGTGTGTTGACATTTGTGTGTCCTGGCTGCATCCCCCAGGTGCGCAGCGGCTGTGCCTTCATGGTCCACGTCTGTCAGGACGAGCATCGCCTGTTCAGCGAGTTTTTCTCACGGCCATCGCCAAGGCTTGAGTGAGTTGCGTGCGCCAAATATTTATGTCACTTGCCGAGCACAGACCCAAAGGCCCAACATGCCAAGAGGCTGGCAACAAACAACACAATCCTCACAGCCTCACTCAACAAAGGCCTCACAGTTCTACTTAGCACAGGTCTCACAGTTCTACTTAGCACAGGTCTCACAGTTCTACTTAGCACAGGTCTCACAGTTCTACTTAGCACAGGCCTCACAGTTCTACTTAGCACAGGTCTCACAGTTCTATTTAGCACAGGCCCTACATCCTCACTCAGCACAGGCCTCACATCCTCACTCAGCACAGGCCTCACATCCTCACTCAGCACAGGCCTCACAGTTCTACTTGGCACAGGCCTCACAGCCTCACTCAGCACAGGCCTCACATCCTCACTCAGCACCGGCCTCACAGCCTCACTCAGCACAGGTCTCACAGTTCTACTTAGCACAGTCCTCACAGCCTCACTCAGCACAGGCCTTACAGCCTCACTCAGCACAGGCCTCACAGCCTCACTCAGCACAGGCCTCACAGTTCTACTTAGCACAGTCCTCACAGCCTCACTCAGCACCGGACTCACAGCCTCACTCAGCACAGGTCTCACAGCCTCACTCAGCACAGGCCTCACAGCCTCACTCAGCACAGGCCTCACAGTTCTACTTGGCACAGGCCTCACATCCTCACTCAGCACAGGCCTCACAGCCTCACTCAGCACAGGCCTTACAGCCTCACTCAGCACAGGCCTCACAGCCTCACTCAGCACAGGCCTCACTCAGCACAGACCTCACAGTTCTACTTAGCACAGGGCTCACAGCCTCACTCAGCACAGGCCTCACAGTTCTACTTGGCACAGGCCTTACAGTTCTACTTAGCACAGGCCTCACAGCCTGACTCAGCACAGGCCTCACAGTTCTACTCAGCACAGGCCTCACAGTTCTACTCAGCACAGGCCTCACAGTTCTACTCAGCACAGGCCTCACATCCTCACTCAGCACAGGCCTCACATCCTCACTCAGCACAGGTCTCACAGTTCTACTTGGCACAGGCCTCACAGCCTCACTAAGCACAGGTCTCACAGCGCTCCACACGAGTGTTTAGGTTTTCTCTCCCGCGTGCTGTGCCATCACAGTGAGCTTCTGGAGCGGCTGTGCCTGCTGTTTTACGATGCATTCCGTCCTCTGATCATCCACGTCATGCACCTGGAGACGCTGTCCGAGCTCTGCTCAATCCTCAAATCCGAGATGCTGGATGACCACTACCACAACAACCGTAAGCATGCCCTCAAGTGGGGTGGATGCACAGGCCTGGCAGATATAGAGGGGAAGGGAGATAGATCACTGGGCTTATATACTCTTTCGTGTCATATCCTACATATAGGTCCACAAACTCTCATCACCGTGAGGGCCAAGAGTTAAGCATTCCTTGGTGTCAATCTCTCTCTGGTCTGGAATTCTCTTCCCTCAGGCATGTAGTCAACTCTGACCCTTTTGCCGGGCAGTTCTGGTGCACGCCTGTAATCAAGCGAGGGTTGGTGACATCGCACAAAGGTTGCGATTACTCCCTTCTCATGGGAGTCGAGGTGCCATACCCTGGCTTGCCAGGAGAAGGCGGTACATAAAATGTGGACTCCATCTGAATGGGATAGTGTTGCTCCCTCACACGTGTGGGTTTGCTCCGGGTGCTCTGGTCTCCTCCCACATTGATGGATTTGGACGGACATCCCGATCTAGGGCCACGGAGCTTGAGCGATGGTTGGCGTCGGTTATGGCCGCCTTCCCGCTTGTCTGTGGTTGACTGCGCCACTGAATCTACGGACACAGCACATCTTACATATTGGCACCGTGTGTAAGGCTAAGTGTTCAACCTTCCTGTCCTCCTCTGCATACAGAAAAAAGCAAAAACTGCCAAAACCGAGTGCATCCATTCCCAATGTTACACTGGAAAATGGGTTACTAGCTCAATTCTAGATTTAAAGCTTTCGTGACTGCAAGGATCATACTCTTTGGTTCTATTCGGTAAAGTCACGTAGGTATAAAAACAACAAAAAATCACGACGTTTCGGCCACAACACAAGCGGCCTTCATCAGGTGAATTTTTTGTGCTAATTCCTTTGTCAAGGCACCTTGTTTCCTCGCACACAGCTTAAAGGTCGCAGTCTGAGCGTGGCTGTGTTTCACTCCAGCGCTGTCCTCGAGACAGCCTGATCCCTTCACCTGATGAAGGCTGCTTGTGTTGTGGCCGAAACGTCGTGATTTTTTGTTGTTTTTATACCTACGTGACTTTACCGAATAGAACCAAAGAGTATGGGTTACTAGCTCCCCAGCTCTCGGAATATCGGTTATCGGTTTAAGCGTTTTACATCAGCCCTACCGGCTGTGTGCATGTGTGTATGTGTGTGCGTGTGTGTGTGTGCTGATCGATGCCCGGGTGCGGTCAAGGGATGGCTCCCTATTGCTCAACCACGTTATGTATTAAATTTTGATTTAAAGCTTTCGTGACTGCAGTGATTCATATTCTTGGTTCTTTCGGTAAAGTCACGTTGAAGGGAAACAATAAAATAATAAATATATACACGTTATGTATGCCGATGATTTGGTAATAGCTGCTTATTCAGAGGAGGAGTTGGAGACGCTGCTGCTGAGACTGGAGCGTGCTACTAAGAGATGGGGCCTTACCATCAGCCCCACCAAAACTAAGCACCTGCCTGGGTATTTTGTACCATCGGACACTCCACCCCCACAACTCCCAATCGGTGATGGGGCAGTTGTGGAGAGAGTGGAGAGTTTCCCATACCTGGGCAGTGTGCTTATGACCGGCTCCAGTTTAACAGCAGAGGTCTCACTCCGAATCAGTCGAGCGGCAATATCTATTCATCGGTTGCGTAACGCTGTGTGGAAGCTGCCTGGTCTGTCGCTCCGCACTAAGCTTCAGGTATTCTCGGCCACAGTCATTCCCTCCCTTCTCTACGCTTGCGAAACGTGGACCCTCCTAATGGAACATCTTCGCCGGTTAGAAACATTTAGGCTGGCCTGCCTACGATCCATCCTGGGTTTAACCAGGCTGGATTGAGTGAGGAGCTCACAAATCCTTGAAAGATCTGGGCACGGTCCCATCGGTGAGCTCCTCCGGCAGGCAAGGCTGCGTTGGCTGGGTCATGTAGCCCGCATGCCCAGCCACCGCATGCCGAAACAGCTTTTTTTTGGCTGGATCGAGGGGGCTAAACGGGCGCGGCACGGGCTAGAGAAGAGATGGAGTGACGTGGTACGGGAGGACGTGGAGCTGAGTGGACTTGCCGATGACTGGTACCAGCGGTGTCAAGATCGGCCTCTGTGGAGGAGGCTAGTGAAGGACGCTACTGGGCAGTTGGAGGCAGTCTCCCTCCAACAACAACGGAGGGCGAAGGAGCGACGCTCACAACAACGAGCGGAGCGCCGGGTGGCTAAAGCACAGCAGGTTGGCACAGTAGGGGGCACAGGTGGTGCATCAGCCAGTCATCTCAGTCAGTCGACCCGTGGCACCTGGGTCTGCCCCGTGACCTCCTGCCAGCGGGCGTTCGACACTCCACGTGGCCTCAAGGTGCACATGGCCTGGCACAAGCGTCGTGGTGACGTCACCGCCACTTAGTGGCGAATGGCGGTTGTTGTTGTGCGTGGGTGCGTGCGTGCGTGCGTGGGTGCATGCGTGTGTGTGTGTGCGTGCGTGGGTGCTTGCTCCCATAGGGGAGGAGCTGGCCGCGTTTGCTATCATCGTGCGCCAGATGCTGGGGGACGTGCAGGAGCGCCTCGTCTATCGCACCCACATCTACATCCAGACGGACATCCTGGGCTACAGGCCGGCGCCCGGTGACCTCGCCTACCCGGACAAGCTGCACATGATGGAGGTACCGGCTGCCCGTGTGCCTTGCCCGCCGGCGCCCCTACGGAGGTGGCCTGGCATGCGGGAGGTTGTGGAGTTCGATCCCGACCCTGAGGCCTGCTGTCTGACGCCTGCGTGTCTCTCTCCCCGTGGTCGCGTGGATTTATTTTTCTCCGGGTTCTCTGATTTTTCCCTCCACATTTAGAATCAACATCATGCTTTTGGAGTATTTGTATTAATTCTGCTGCTATAAATTTCCACATCATAAGCCACTTGGTTTAGCTATAATTTGTGGTCGCGTCTGAAAAATAAGCTAAGAGCTTAGTGGTCTTTACCTGATAAGAAAAAATAGTTTAGTTTATTTGTATATTTTTTAAGTTATTTGTTTACCTTTCCTACACTCGGCGCTCTTATCGTGTTTTTCAATTCTGACGCACCCCTACTGGACATCTGTAAAAAAAAAAGCTTTATTGCTCATCAGATTCATTCAATATAAATATTCTGATTCTAAATTTCACCCGCATTGACGGCTGTGACGTTGTTGGGCGGGTGTGCAAGTCGGTAAATATACGTACATTATTTAACTTCTTTCACACCGTACGTAGCCAACCATACTAATCGGAGTTGCAGGGGAAGGACAACAGACTAAACATAAAAAGTACTACTAAAGAAATTCGTTTTCAATCATAGCTCCAGTGGCTTTCTAATATCGGAAGGAAGAATGTTCCAGACGGCCACAGACACGCATATGAAAGCGCGCGATGCAGTGACCCCCTTTGTTCAATGGCGAGCCAAAAGCCGCACGCGAGGATGACCACTGGTGTTAACGTGATGATGGTTGATGCTCTTTGATGAGATCGGCAAGGTATTGTGGTTCAATTTGTGGCAAGCACTTTGCGTGCAATAATCGCGACCTACAATGTGTTCGTTCGTCTACCGCAAGCCAATGCAGCTTGGCGAGTACCGGACGGGCATGGTCGGATCTTGCAGTACCCGTAATGACACGTGCCAGAGAATTGTTGTACACGCTGCAGCTTGAGAATGTTTTTGCCAGACGTCTTGTAAGGTAGATAGTTGCAATAATCGAGCCTCGTTGATACCGTGTTTGCTCAGTACAAAGGAAGGACATTCTGTTACTATTGTTTACCCAGGAAATCCTGGCTGAGTCTCAAGACTCTTTTTAGGTGGGTCCTCCCAAGTCTTCTCATAAGGGGGGTGCGGGCAACGTTGCTGCCATGTATAATCTCAATTGAGTCGTGTGCAGGTAATAGGTGGGTGTGCAGGTGGGATGGTATACATGCGTGAGACGGGTCCACTTGCATATGGACAAAGAAACCAGAAGTGCAGAGGGCCTGAGGGCATCACGGGAGAATGAGTGACCTTTCATCGAGAGGAGGTTGAATAACAATAATTTTGGAGAAGGGCTTTCTCGCTGTTGTAGTTAGCCGGTGCCCGCGTGTGTGCTGTCAATCCTTGACCGCCCCCCGCACGACCCTGTCTTGTGCCCCGCAGCAAATCGCGCAGAGCCTGCAGGAGGAGAGTGCGGCTGGCGGGCGGCCACAGCCGCCCTCCTTCTCCGAGGTGGCGCTGGAGGATACCGCCCGGCGGAGCTCTGTGCCGGCTGGTGGGTAGAGACGAACGACGCCGCAGCGGGCTCGAGTGCCGACTCCAAATATACCGGCATCGTCAGCGTCGGAATCGAACCCACGACCTCCTGTATACCTACCAGGCGCTCACGCATCCTATAATTATCCTGTGGGGGAGTGCATGTGGACATCAAAGGGCTTGTGTTTGCTCGCAGTGGACACGAGCTCACACAGAGACCCACGGGACCCACAGAGACCGAAAGTTTCGTACAGACCCATAGTAATACATAGAAACCCACAGACTCACAGAGACCCATAGAATCACACAGATCCATCTACTCGGGCAGAGACTCTTAAAACTCACAGAGAAACACATAGCCTCACGATGCATTTCACTCTCAACGCATGCGTGTGTGTGCGTCTCTGCCTCTGTGTGTTGACTGAGTGCAGGGGGATCTGTGCTGAAGACCTCAGTCCCTGTGTCCCCAGCCGACCTCCATGGCATGTGGTTCCCCACGGTGCGGAGGACTCTCCTCTGCCTCTCCAAGCTCCACCGCTGCATGGAGGTGAGGTCACAGCAAGCGTGTGGGAAAACCCACGTGATTGAGCGGGTGGGATGAGTTAACGGGTGGGTGAGCTCGTGAGTGGGAGGGATTGAGTGACTGGGTAGATTTGTTAATGCATGAGTGAGTGGGTGGATGGGTTAATGGACGGGTGAGTTAATGAATAGGTAGGAGAGTGAGTGAGTGGGTGGATGAGACATGATGTTTTTAATGTGTGTGCACTGTGCGTGTGTCCTGTCCTGTTTGCGTGTGCTTGCGTGTTTGTGCCGCGAGTGAGATTCGCGTTGTGTATGTGTGCTTTGTGTGTATTATGTAATGTGGATGTAGTTGCTGTGTGTGTGGGTGCTATGTGTGTGCGCTGGGTGTGTGTGCTGTGCATGTGCTGTTTGCGTGTGCCACGTGTGTAGTAGGTGCCTTGGGTGTGCTGTGTGTACGTGCTGCGAGTGTGTTTGCTGTGTGTACATGTGCTTTATGTGTACAATGTGATGCGAATGTAGTTGCTGTGTGTGCGTGTGTGACCCCGCTTGTGACCCCGGTGTGGTGTTTACAGAAACCGGTGTTCCAGGGCCTGTCCCAGGAGGCGCTCTCCGCCTGTATCAAGTCTCTGCTCTCAGCCAGTGAGGCCATCACCAAGAAGAAGGTGAGTGAATATCGTACGCTCATGTCGGTGGCTCGGAGATGTTATCTCCCTCGCCCGGTATGCAGGAGGTCGTGGCTTCGTTCGCGACCTTGACGCCTGCTGCTGCTGCTGCTGTATGTTTGGAGTTTGCGGCGTCTCTCTCCCCGTGGTCGCGTGGATTTTTCTCCGGGTCCTCCGATGTTTCCCTTCACATTTAGAATCCACGTGATAAGCCACTGCTTCGTTGAGCTATTATTTACGGCCAGGTCGCTTCTGAAAAATAACTATACAGCTCAGTGGGCCTTATGTGGAAAAAAAAAAAATAGGTTTTTTTAAAATATACAAACTATAGACCTACACGTGTGCATTCAAAATCGTCACCGAGGAACTATGGGCAGTCCTTTATTTGCCAAAGAGATTGAATATCCTCGTCATCGTGATAGTAGCACTTCTCACTGCAGAAACTAACTGTGATGTTTGCTATGAAGTGAGCTTAAGGAACATGTGACAGCGAGTGAGAAACAGTCGCCCGCAGACATGTCACGATACATGTACATACATTGATGTTTGCACTTGCGATACATGCATTGAACCTTGTGTGTAAGAATCTATGATTTGTGAATGATGATTCACAGTGGATGTTTGGGTTAGGCCATGTAATGACCTTGACAATTGTGCATCGTCTAACCCTCCACCGTCCAAAATAGCCAGAGAAATTACATTGTTACGGTGATGTACAAGCCTCTGAAAGCGCCAGTTATTATTCTTGCAGCTTACCGGTGAGTTGAAGGACAATCCTCACAACCACATTTATCTAAAAAAATCTCATTTATCAATGAGATGCGTTTCACTTGAGGCTACGTCACACATCGCCGGGTTATGAACCAGGAAGTCAGAGTAATAATATAGTGACGAATGAAATCCTTGTACACGCGACAGAGCAACTTTGTTAAAACAGCGTGAAACGTGTTTTCTTCTTGCAAAAGCACGCTCCGCTTTGCCGCATTGCATGGGGTAACATAACAGAGAGTGTGTGAATGGGGTAACATAACAGAGTGTGCATGGGGTAACATAACAGAGTGTGTGTGCATGGGGTAACATAACAGAGTGTGTGTGAATGAGGTAACATAACAGAGTGTGAATGGGGTAACATAACAGAGTGTGTGTGAATGGGGTAACGTAACAGAGAGTGTGCATGGGGTAACATAACAGATAGTGTGCATGGGGTAACATAACAGAGTGTGTGTGAATGGGGTAACATAACAGAGTGTGAATGGGGTAACATAACAGCGTGTGCATGGGGTAACATAACAGATAGTGTGCATGGGGTAACATAACAGTGTGTGTGAATGGGGTAACATAACAGAGTGTGTGTGCATGGGGTAACATAACAGAGTGTGCATGGGGTAACATAAGAGCGTGTGCATGGGGTAACATAAGAGCGTGTGCATGGGGTAACATAACAGAGTGTGAATGGGGTAACATAACAGAGTGTGTGCATGGGGTAACATAACAGAGTGTGTGCATGGGGTAACATAACAGAGTGTGTGCATGGGGTAACATAACAGAGTGTGTGTGCATGGGGTAACATAACAGAGCATGTGCATGGGGTAACATAACAGAGTGTGAATGGGGTAACATAACAGAGTGTGTGCATGGGGTAACATAACAGAGTGTGAATGGGGTAACATAACAGAGTGTGTGCATGGGGTAACATAACAGAGTGTGAATGGGGTAACATAACAGAGTGTGTGCATGGGGTAACATAACAGAGTGTGTGCATGGGGTAACATAACAGAGTGTGAATGGGGTAACATAACAGAGTGTGTGCATGGGGTAACATAACAGAGTGTGCACGGCTATGCAGCCGACTCTCCGCCAGCGTGCGCCAGCCGTGCGCCCCCTGTGCAAGCCGTTGCGCCCCCCACGTCCTGTGTGCCCGTCAGACGGTGACAGACGGGCAGCTCTTCCTCATAAAGCACCTACTCATCCTGCGGGAGCAGATCGCCCCCTTCCACGCGGACTTCACCATCAAGGAGGTTTCCCTGGACATGCGCAAGACTAAAGGTGGGGCGGGGCGCTCGGCTTGAACTCGGCCACCGTGCCGCACGTGCGTGTTGCGCGCGTGGTGCGTTGTTGTGCACGGGGTGCGTTGTTGTGCACGTGGTGTGTTGTTGTGCACGGGGTGTGTTGTTGTGCACGTGGTGCTTTGTTGTGCACGTGGTGCGTTGTTGTGCACGGGGTGCGTTGTTGTGCGCGTGGTGTGTTGTTGTGCACGTGGTGCGTTGTTGTGCACGGGGTGCGTTGTTGTGCACGGGGTGCGTTGTTGTGCGCGTGGTGCGTTGTTGTGCACGTGGTGCGTTGTTGTGCACGGGGTGCGTTGTTGTGCACGTGGTGCGTTGTTGTGCACGGGGTGCGTTGTTGTGCACGTGGTGCGTTGTTGTGCACGTGGTGCGTTGTTGTGCACGTGGCGCGTTGTTGTGCACGTGGTGCGTTGTTGTGCACGTGGTGCGTTGTTGTGCACGGGGTGCGTTGTTGTGCACGCGCATCGCGCCCGTCCGCCTTTCGACATTCCTCGAGGGCGCCGCCGGCGCCCCGCATTGACGGAACCGCGCACGACCGCCGACGTTGTCCTGTCGTCCCCTCTAGAGGCGGCGTACAAGATGCTGACCCCTCGCACCGTCTCAAAACTCTTCCGTCTCAACAGCCACAACGCCATCCTGGAGTTCATCCTGCAGGTACCCCGAGGGCCCAGCCGCGGGTCGAGCCCCGCACGCCGCGGCCTCAGCACGGCGCCACCGATTGTACAGTCGTGCGGCGTCAGGCGGCTCCCGTTGCGTGCGGCGTCAGGCGGCTCCCGTTGCGTGCGGCGCCGCGACGAACCCACGGCTCGATCTACGGCCGCGTTTTAGGCGCCCCCACCTCTTGACGGGTGCTGCCAGGAGGGAATGACATCACAGGGATCACCGGGAGATGCGTTGTCGCTCGACGCTACTCTGATCCCGCCAAGAAGCTTCGGCCGACAGGTTTGGTGAATGGCGGCAGGTCTAACGGGGACGTTAGGTGCTGTAGTCGCCCTGTAACCGCTCGTGGTGGCTCTGCACACGTCAGGCTTTTAAGCCTCCACCCCCCCCCCCCACCCCCCCGTGGGTCCTTTGGGGTCTCCACATGGGTTCCCTCTCGTCTGGGAAGAAGTCTTCGTGGGGACTGGTGCACAGCGTGGCGTCTCATCAAAAGTCTTCCTGGCTCTAGCTCGGGCCTGCCTCGTTTCCTCCACTCTGTGTGCATTTGTTGGAGTCATTGCCAAAGGTGGTCTCCCGCTCCGAGATGTATCATTCTGCCTTGCTCTCCTGAGATTCACGTGACCCTTGTTACGAATGAGAAATGTACTTATTCGTAATTGATTTTCGGGCGAGACCACAGAATGTTTCCTGTAACCCTCCTCTCACCACCCGTCGTAGACGTTTTAAAGATGTTCCGTGTACAAGCGTTGGAAGCACCAGTTGTTGTTGTTCACCTCGCATCGGTTTAAACTGAACAGTTCTCACAAACACATTTAGAAATGAGGACGTTTCGTTTGAATATATATCGAGCATGATCAGGACAAGTTCCAGGAAGTGAAAATTAAGTTTAACTTGTGATAGGTAAGGTGGTGGAGAGCCAGGGCATTACATGACCTCATCCAAAAATGTATAATGAATCGTTATATTAGCTTGGAAGGCCTCTGTTTTAGATACTTGGAGATTGTATATTTGTAGTTTGCATGTCTCTCTCCCTATGGTCGTGTGGATTTTTCTCCAGGTCCTCCAGTTTTTTCCCTCTACATGTAAACACATTTAGAGTATTTGGCTGCAACTATAAATTTCCACGAGATGACAAAAGCCACTTCGTTGAGCTATCATTTGTGGCCAGGTCGCTTCTGAAAAAGAGCTACATTACTCGGTGGGCTTTACCTAATAAAATAAAGTGAGTATAAAATGAATACTCCCTGATGTTGAGTTCACATGCGTTGGCGTTCTCAAGCACTGACTAAATTTTCCACGAATCTCTGCAGCCATAGCACCTATTACTGTAAATATGATCACAGCTTCCAGATTGAAAAACACGGTCACTTCACCTTGTTCACTACTGCATCGCCACCGTGTGAACATGAGTGACTCTATGCACTGTTGTGATAACGAGTTGCACAAAGGCGTTGTGCAATCTACGCGCACACACACAAACGTTTGTTTCATCACAAGAGTTGAGTACATTTGATATTCGCGGCATTCGTTTAGCACAAGGCTATGCTCACGAAGGAAGGCGCTGTGTTTGCAGTGGTTTGACTGTAGGGGGCGATGTTGCTTTGTGTAATTCCAACTGAGTAATTTTTGCAGGTAATTTTTTAATTTGGAAAGTTTGGATGGTGATGCCAGAATGCAGTGGGCCTACTATTTTCAAATTATGTCACAGGATCTTTGAAGCAATCCGAGCGAGGTATTTTACGACACCAGTAGTAATAACCAGGAGAGCTTGCCGGATTTGAATTACAAATCTCTTAAAAAGCGGTGAATGCACTACCACTGGGCCATGTCACCACTGCCCCATAATATAATTTTATAACGATGTTGGCTTCATCGACTGATAAGAGCTTTTGGGAAGATGGTCACCGCAGCACGCTCTTTCAGATGCGCTCCTTTCGGCCGTCTGGAATGCCCTTCACTATTAAGAAGCCGCTGGAGCTATGCGCTTTTAAATTATCTCGATTGAAAACTCGTTTCTTCAGATCTGCTTTTTGTATTTAGATTGTTGTCCTTCCTCCGAATTTCCGATTAGCATGGTTGGCTACGTACGGTGCGAAAGAAGTTCTACATACATACACGTATTCTACCTGTAAGAGGGTACGCACGCACAGCGTCCTTGTGACTGATTACACTTTCTCACATTGCCTAGGTGATTGCTGCATCGCTTGCTTGATTCTCCTGCCCATTCTTCCCTTTCTAGGGCACACCGGAGGTGAAGGAGCACTTCATGGACTCGAAGAAAGACGTGGACCGGCAGCTCAAGGCCACGTGCGAGCAGTTCATCCAGCAGCAGAGCAGCCAGCTCGTGGGGCCGCTCAAGGACCTCGTAGCCAAGGTGAGTGGCTCGTGCACAGCCGGGGATTCACGACCCCTCTGATTAGCGCCTGGATGTTTGCGTGACACAGAAGGGCCTCGGCCCGAAATATTGCCCGTTTATATATTTTTACATTTCAAGGCCGCACACAGAGTTATCGATTGTGTGGCGTTTTCTTGTAGCTTGTTATTTGCGCGCGACTACAAATATCAGTGTCACCAAATCTATATAACAACTGTGTTCAGGAAGCAATCGAGTGAGTCTCGAGGGACCCTCTTTGAAAAGATTCCAGGAGGTTCTTGCTTGGGATGTTTTGGCTGTTTTGTACATTTGGGATTAAACCAGAGTGTTGAGATGAAAACCCACGTGTACGAGACTGTGATTACACCGACATCTCTTTGTCCGGGTCAGACGCCGCGTGGCTGTACTGCCACCTCGTAGCCTTGCTACTTGCGAGTTTCATTCCCATTGTGTGATCCATCGGTCTCTCTCGTGTGGACTACCTTGATTTGTGCCCCTAGGAGGTCACAATTCTAGTCGGATTTAGATGTACGGCGCGTAATATATGCAGCTGCATCAAAGAATGCTCCGGAATCTGGAAACGGAGGTGCATTTATTATCTTTTTTTACCACGTAAGGCCCACTGAGTTATATAGCTGGCCACAAATGATCGCTCAACGAAGTGGCTTATCGCGTGGGAATGTATTGGGGCCAAATACTCTAAACGCGTCATGTTGTTTCTAAACGCGTCATGTTGTTTCTAAACACGTCATGTTGTTTCTAAACACGTCATCATGTTTCTAAACACGTCATGTTGTTTCTAAACGTGTCATGTTGTTTCTAAACGTGTCATGATGTTTCTAAATGCGTCATGTTGTTTCTAAATGCGTCATGTTGTTTCTAAACACGTCATGTTGTTTCTAAACACGTCATCATGTTTCTAAACACGTCATGTTGTTTCTAAACACGTCATGTTGTTTCTAAATGCGTCATGTTGTTTCTAAACGTGTCATGTTGTTTCTAAACACGTCATGTTGTTTCTAAACACGTCGTGTTGTTTGTAAACACGTCATGTTGTTTCTAAACACGTCGTGTTGTTTCTAAACACGTCATGTTGTTTCTAAACACGTCATGTTGTTTCTAAACGCGTCATGTTGTTTCTAAACACGTCATGTTGTTTCTAAACACGTCATGTTGTTTCTAAACACGTCATGTTGTTTCTAAACACGTCGTGTTGTTTCTAAACACGTCGTGTTGTTTCTAAACACGTCGTGTTGTTTCTAAACACGTCGTGTTGTTTCTAAACACGTCGTGTTGTTTCTAAACACGTCATGTTGTTTCTAAACACGTCATGTTGTTTCTAAACACGTCGTGTTGTTTCTAAATACGTCATGTTTCTAAACACGTCATGTTGTTTCTAAACGTGTCATGTTGTTTCTAAACGCGTCATGTTGTTTCTAAACGCGTCATGTTGTTTCTAAACGTGTCATGTTGTTTCTATACACGTCGTGTTGTTTCTAAACACGTCGTGTTGTTTCTAAACACGTCGTGTTGTTTCTAAATACGTCATGTTTCTAAACACGTCATGTTGTTTCTAAACGTGTCATGTTGTTTCTAAACGCGTCATGATGTTTCTAAACACGTCATGTTGTTTCTAAACGCGTCATGATGTTTCTAAACACGTCATGTTGTTTCTAAACACGTCATGTTGTTTCTAAACACGTCATGTTGTTTCTAAACACGTCATATTGTTTCTAAACGCGTCGTGTTGTTTCTAAACGTGTCATGATGTTTCTAAACACGTCATGTTGTTTCTAAACACGTCATGTTGTTTCTAAACACGTCATGTTGTTTCTAAACACGTCATATTGTTTCTAAACGCGTCGTGTTGTTTCTAAACGTGTCATGATGTTTCTAAACACGTCATGTTGTTTCTAAACACGTCATGTTGTTTCTAAACACGTCATGTTGTTTCTAAACGCGTCATGTTTCTAAACACGTCGTGTTTCTAAACACGTCGTGTTGTTTCTAAACACGTCATGTTGTTTCTAAACACGTCATGTTGTTTCTAAACACGTCATGATGTTTCTAAACGTGTCATGTTGTTTCTAAACATGTCGTGTTGTTTGTAAAGGCGTCATGTTGTTTCTAAACACGTCATGTTGTTTCTAAACGCGTCATGTTGTTTCTAAACATGTGTTGTTTGTAAAGGCGTCATGTTGTTTCTAAACACGTCATGTTGTTTCTGAACACGTCATGTTTCTAAACGCGTCATGTTTCTAAACACGTCACGTTGTTTCTAAATGCGTCATGTTTCTAAACACGTCATGTTGTTTCTAAACGCGTCATGTTGTTTCTAAACGCGTCATGTTTCTAAACACGTCATGATGTTTCTAAACACGTCATGTTGTTTCTAAACACGTCATGTTTCTAAACACGTCATGATGTTTCTAAACACGTCATGTTGTTTCTAAACGTGTCATGTTTCTAAACGCGTCATGTTGTTTCTAAACGCGTCATGTTGTTTCTAAACGCGTCATGTTGTTTCTAAACGCGTCATGTTGTTTCTAAACACGTCATGTTGTTTCTAAACACGTCATGTTGTTTCTAAACACGTGTTGTTTGTAACGGCGTCATGTTGTTTCTAAACACGTCATGTTGTTTCTAAACACGTCGTGTTGTTTCTAAAGGCGTCATGTTGTTTCTAAACGCGTCATGTTGTTTCTAAACATGTCGTGTTGTTTGTAAAGGCGTCATGTTGTTTCTTAACACGTCATGTTGTTTCTAAACACATCATGTTGTTTCTAAACACGTCATGTTGTTTCTAAACACGTCGTGTTGTTTGTAAAGGCGTCATGTTTTCTAAACGCGTCATGTTGTTTCTAAACGCGTCATGTTGTTTCTAAACACGTCGTGTTGTTTCTAAAGGCGTCATGTTGTTTGTAAACGCGTCATGTTGTTTCTAAACACGTCATGTTGTTTCTAAACACATCATGTTGTTTCTAAAGGCGTCATGTTGTTTCTAAACACGTCATGTTGTTTGTAAACGCGTCGTGTTGTTTGTAAACGCGGAGAGAAAAACCGGAGGTCTCAGAGATAAATCGACGCGACCACGGGGAGAACATGCAAATTCCAAATCTACAAGCGTCATGGTCGAGATCAAACCTCCTGCATACCAGGCGAGGTAGTTAACATCTCCTAGCCACCGCGGCGCCCTACATGTGGGAGAAAACCCACGTGCGCAAGGGAGCAACACTCTATCCCATACCCAATGGACAGATGGCCGTACCAAGCCAGGGTACGGCACCTGCTTGACGCCCATGTGCAGGAGGTTTCACAACATCTGTGTGTGATCCACCAGCCACTGCTGCTGCCCTCCAAAGTGCTGGTTTACAGGCTACGTGCCTGGCCACCAGCACTCGGCTATGTCATTAGTGTTTGGGTCGCAGCTGTAGTCAAATATAATGAAACAAAAATCAAAGGCGCCTGTTTTTATTGCCAAATGTAAATATAATTTACATACTAATGAGTTGCACTTTATAATATTAAGTTTTGAGCCTGTTTTAGAAGTCTTTTTTTTAGATCTCTCACTCCTATCTCTAGGCTCACGGACCAGTCAATGATGGGGTCACGAGACCATAGGTTGATGTACTCGTTTCTTAAAACGTTCTTATTTCGGTCCGGCTTTGTTTGTCTCTCTTGTGATGCTCTGCCACACTGCCCTTGTGTCTAAGCGTGGATTGTTGTGTGTTTCGCTTTCTCCTCCTCGCTGTCCACATCATCAGCACCGCACTGCGTACATCCTTCCGTGGGGCTAATTGGTGGCAGTGGCGATGGAGTAAATCATCCACTGATGGGTGCAGACCTAGCCGCACTGTGTCAATAAACTTACGTGAAAAAATAATAATACAGACCCCAGTACGGCAACGGGAGGCAGCGCTAGAGAGTCCCTCGAGCCGGTACTTGGCCTGCTCTTCCACGCTGGCCAGACGTGTTGGAAGAGGTGGGAGGTTACCCACACTTTACCTCGCCAACACGCGACCTGCCGATCATCGACGAACTGCCGCATACCCGTTTATACAGCTGAGTGGACAGGGGGGAGGGAGGGAGAGTTTGAGAACCCCGTGCCTCATTGGCACGCCGGGATGGTGGAATCTGGATTGCAAGTCCAGTCAGTATGTGAACCACACCCCTCTGGCAGCTCGCTAAAGCCGTGCACCATATATTGTCGTGTTTCTAGATTTGAGAAGCAGAAGTGAAACGCTGTACTTAAGTTTGGAGGCCCTGGTGCTGCCCTGCGTGTTCTCTGCAGTTTGTACACATGTACGTTGAACACCTTTCGCACAGTACGTAGCCAACCGTGCTAATCAGAGGTGCGTGTGTGTGAGCAGGTGGCTGCTCTGAAGGCCATGGCGAGCCAGGGAGGACCCAGCTACTCGTTGCACCAACAGCCCTGGGCTAAGCCCGGTGAGACCGCCAAACTCACACCGGCGCCTGTCGCGATGTGCGAGGGTGTCCGTCCAGAACTCGCGCACCGAGCATTGACACCGCACGGCGGCATGGAGAAACCCCACGAGATATTAATAATAATAAAAATCAACGCGACCACAGGGAGGACATGCAAACACCAAATATACAGGCGTCAGGGTCAGGATCGTACCCACAACCTCCTGCATACCAGGCGCGAGGGAGTTAACATATCGCCACCGCAGCGCCCCGAGGCTTAACAGTTCTATTCAGCACAGGTTGCACAGCCTCGGTCAGCACAGGCCTCACAGCAACATCTCGCCACCACATTTTAGGGTGGATACACCCTCACTAATAACCAGGGTGGCCTGTTTGATTCCAACCATTGACCTCTGCGACAAGCGGCGAACACACTGCTGCGTGGACCATGTCATCACCGCAAAGATTAGTCTGATGCGCACCCAGCTAAGTAAAATTTAATTTGTTTGAGATTGATGATTTTGTGAAGTCAGCAGCCCATAACATTGAACTTCCTGCACATTGATTCAAAGCTTCAGGGCCATTTTAGGAGCGGTGACATGGACCAGAAGAGAGGTTGGCGGTTAGAATCCGGCAGGCCGTCCTGGTTATTACTGGCGGGTGAATTAAGCACAAAATGCGACTACGTGCCGCCTGCTTCACAGGGGGCATTCACGACCCCATGACGTCATTTTCAAGAGTAGGCCCATTCAGTCCCGGGGCCATGGTCCAAATTTGACAAATTCAAATATTTACACCGCGAATTTTTGCAATTGGGATTACGCATTGCAACGTCGTTCCCACCTGGCAGGCGGTATCCATGTGTAAAACACAGCACCGCTTCCGCACGTTCACCATTGTTAACGTTCCCATGGGCGGCACGGGCACGCACACCCCTCGCTGTTCACAGCGCAATCGCAGTTCACTGTCGTATACATGAATGTTGAACTTCTTTCGCACCGTACGTAGCCAACCGTGCTAATCGGAGGTGCGGGGAAGGACAACAAACTAAATCATTATCAATAATAATTATGCACATCATATCATCTTTTCATCATTTACGTGAGTTTACACGAGCTTCTCTTCTTCGTTGGTCTAAGTTTACAATCGTCGCCGCTCCTCTACGATCACAATCGTCGCGTCTAGCAACCCCAGAGGACACCAGACACCCATTCTATCTCACTTAATGGGCTTCTCTCCCGATGACGGCGTCACCCTTGCCATACGCCAGATGACCTCCGTGTACATCCCCCGAGCCAGTGGGGTCGACGAGCAGAGCTGAACCCAGATAGTGCTCGGTATGGGTGACCGTCATGCGTAGGCCGGGTGCTAAAGGCTACTGCGGAGCGAAGGGAGGGGCAGTGCAGTGCAGTCCGTTGTTGTGGGGGGGGGGGGGGGCTCATCCAGCAGTGGATTGACGCCAGGGCCCCGTACGTGTGGAGTGGCTTTGTGCCACACGGCACTCGGTGACGTGGTGCTCTTCACCAACGATTTGAACCCAGAAGCTTGGCAGTGCCAACCCGATTCTCCGGTATGGGTTTAGCACCATGAATTGGATCACCGAGATACAACCACACCAGGAATGTTTCATACCTCAAGAAAATCAAGCTGACATAGATGAAACTGACCAAAAGGCATATTTCAACGTGTCAACGTCTTCTTTTTTTGTCCCATGTCCCCGTGTGTCAACTTGTCTCCTGTGCCCCTATCCTTGCATCACCTGTGTCCCTGTGTCGCCCTATCTCCATCTCCCTATGTCTCCTGTGTCCCTGTGTTTCTGTCCCGTATTCCCATGTCTCCTCATCTCCACATGTCGTGTCCTTGTGTCTCTGTCCGCTGTGTTCCCCTGTCTTCCTGTCTCCAAATCCCTGTGTCCCTGTCTTTCTATTCCAATGTTGCTCTGTCTATCTGCTGTGTCCCCCTCTCTCCCTATCTCCACGTCCCCTGTGTCACCCCCCCGCCCCCCATCCCTGTCTCCACGTCACCACCGTGTCCCCGTGTCTCAGAGAAGATTCAGGAGGTGGTGTCATCCTCGTACCGCGCGCTCAAGAGCCGCGTGCCCAGCGTTCAGCGCAGCATGGCGCTGTACCTGGCCAACGGCGACACGGAGGCCATCCTCTTCAAGCCCATCAAGGTGCGAGCCCGGGAGCGCGGTGGCGCCGGCTCGGGCGGGAGAGGGTTCCATGCTTGTTGGGGTCACGGTCGTGAGCAGGCTTCCTGTTAGGCCCGCACAAATTTGCTCCTTCGCGATTCACTCCATCGTGGTCACGAGGCAGGATCCACGAGTCGATTGAAAAATGAATTACTGTTTTCGCCATCGGATCCGAGTATTGGTGTTGGTTCAAGTTTGTTTTGTTGAAACTAGTCGAGAACTCGCAAAGAGAGAGCAAGGATAGATCCTCATTTATCAAGAGCTATGTGTGTCACCAAAATCGCAAAAGCAAACCGAATCAAATAAAGTACAGCAATCAAGCAAATACAAATCGGAACAACAAATAACTGCGGCACGTGAGAAATTTAAAATATTGCACGAACATAAATCAATGTTACGTAGGTTCCCTGAGGTGCAAGTCAGCTCGGGGCGGATTATTTTCAGACAGATCATAATACGATTGCAATAAATTTCCAGAAACATTCAACATATAGGGTGACTATTGTAGTCGGCGTCAAACATCACTCGGACCTCTCACGCTTAATGTCAGACATCACAAGCGGCAGCGGCTTTTAGGCCACGAAGCATTCCTGGATAAAGGCACAACACCAGAGTTGTGTTTGTGAACTATTTTCAATACCTCACGCGGCGCAGTTGTTTAGCCCCGATTTCTCTTTGCTTCGTTGCCATGCTTTATTCCATCCATGTTGCCTTCTGCTATTTTTTTTGGAAACAGCCCAGACCACTCTAGGCAAATGAGGCTCTGTCCTGGCCCTCTGGTTTAACCAAAACCAGCCTCTCTGTGGATGTCGCCTCCCCGCAGAACAACGTGCAGCAGGCGTTTGAGCACCTGCAGGCCGTGCTTGCCGAGGAGTTCTCGGAGGAGGACCTCCAGATCATCGCCTGCCCCTCACCCGAGCAGGTGGGTGGGACCTCTCGTTGCGGTTTCCTACTGTACGTCTGTGAAAAAGAGCTTTGTAGCTCATCGGATTCCTCCAGTATAAATAAATTTTCTGATTCGGTCTCCGCGCCCGTAGCCGCCCTTTGGTGGAAGGTCCACATTGCGTGCTCGCGTGTTCCCTTGGGCAGTTCAACGCGTGTAGGCTTTCGCGACCAATGTTATCCGTAATAAAGTTTTTTTCTTGTTGGGGTTAGATCGCGTAAATGTAAAAGTTGGTTGTACTCGCCAGCGAAACGTCACGGTACTTGAATTGTAAACTTTGCGGGTTTTCTCTCCAACACAGAACGGGTGTGCTTGAGTAAGTAACTAATTGGCACGTTTTGTTTACATGACTAACCTTACTAATTGGCTGTGTCGGGTGGTGGCGGCGGCGTTGACACGTTTATATTTACGCGATCTCTTGGGCAGTCTGCATAGCATCACCGATGACTTCCCACGAGTGCGGTGCTTATTTCATTCACCACGGCGGGAAGAAAAAAATCAAATAACTTTATTGGTACACCGAGGCTCCCGCAAGGCCATGCGCGAGGGAGGGCGTGTGGCACAGTTTGGCACCAGCTGTCATGGAGTGCGGTCGTGTCGTTACGGTTCTCTGCGGTGAGTACAATGTCTTAAAAAAAAAACGGCGCTACGCCCCTCTAAATAAAATTAGCGTGAACCGCTTGCGCGTTCCGAGATTTGTGGACCTTGTGACCATCATTTGCTGAGCGATAACCCTCCCAACGGTGGTATCAGTGACAACGTTGCCTGGCACGGTCGCTCTGTACCCATCCTTGGGTGTCGTCTGCTCGTGCGTGCTTTTACTGATAACCAGCCGGGTGGCTCAGCGGTAGAGCAAGTGGCTCACATCCTGGATGGGTGACTCAGCCCATCATCCCTCCAGGGTCAATAAAATAAGTACCACTTCGTGGTGAGCAGTTAGATGAAAACTTATTTTTACAACAGCGTTCACACACTCTTATCACTGATATTGTTATGTATGTATGCTGAACTTATTTCGCACCGTACATAGCCAACTGTGCTTATCGGAGGTTACTTGCATTTACTGCTTTTCATGTTTTGTATTTCCTATGTATTTCTGCTTCTTACTGAATTTTCACGCATATTGTTCACGATTGATATTTTTATTTAATGTTTCTGCAGAGCACTTTGATGCGATCCTTTCATTCGCGGCACTGCACGGCAGCGTAAAGATCGATTGGCTGCTCGTTGCCCTGCTCTGCGTTGCAGGTGAACCTGCTGCTGGTGCTGACGAAGTAGCGCAAGCTCCCCACGAGGGGGCAGCAGTCGCCTGGTGCATTCTGGGAGTCGCGTCTTTCTTCGCTGGTGATCACGAGGTCAAGAGGTCGCAACACAATGTGGGAACAGGCCCTGAGAAGCAAGGACTTCTTTCAGAAGAGAACCCACCGGTGTCATGGATTCACAGGCCCTTGCGAAAGTGTCCCATAATGCCTCTGTTTATTGCAGAGGTCACACAAACCTACAATTCGGCTTTGCTATTGTCTCTCTTTTTGGGGGTGTTTGGCCGCTCTTACGGCGGCAATTCCTAAATGCCACGTGCTAGGCGTGGTGGGGTAGACCTGTAAACTTGGCTCTTTGTGAGAGGTGGGTTAGGTGGATCGCACAGAGATCATCGCGTGAATTATACTCCCAGCCTGCTTAGCTGTGAGGTGGCAGTACAGCAAACGGGTTTAAAACAATAATTGGTAAATTGGTCAAACATCACAATGCAGTTCTCACCCGAGTCGTTAGACTTGGTGAAGCTCTGTTGGATAAATAATAAAGATATTTTGTTATTGTTATTACTGTGTGATGCCTTCCTTGGTGGTCGTCCTTGTATGACCATCCATGAGTGTTTTTGCTTCATCAGAATCAGAATATTTATTTACACTGGAGGAATCCAATGAGCTAAAAAGCTCTTTTTCACAGATGTTCACAATTCTTTTTTTCCAAAGGACCCTCCCATCCACCTGACATAGCCAAACAAAGTTGTCACGTGTGAACGCGCCAATTATTTTACGATTCAGCTCATTCCGGCGAGTTGGAAAATAAAAGTTGCAAAGAAATGTAGCAATCGCACACCACGACGTTTTGCTTGAAACGACACCAAGCATCATGAAGGACAGATCCAGGAAGTCGATAACCACCTGACCCGCGTAAGCCTCACAGGAACAACCAATCAGATTTAAGCTCGACACTACACCACTGCAACCGATTCGTCGATCGTCATTGCTGGAATAATGAGCCGTAGTTCGCGTCGGTTCCCCATTGCAGGTGCATTCGTGACGTACGTCTGTTAAAATAGGGCTCTTGGCTTTTCATCACGATGCCTCGTGTGAGTGTCAAGAGTCTGGGACTTGGTTGGAGGTGCATTTCGGACATTTGGCGTGCGCTGAGAGCCGATCGCGATTGCCGGCTGATGTGCAAGATGGGCAGCGGGGTGTCGGCGCAGGGGCAACGCTTCACATCGAGAGGCTCCTCCTGGGTTCTACCCCCAACTGGGGTGCCTGGATGGAGGTTGTGTCTTCTCCCCCCTGGTCTGCATCGGGTGCCTCCGGGTTCTCTGCTTTTCTCCCATAGCTAAGACGAACTTGACATTGCATCGGCCAAAACATCTCAATTCTGAAACATTGCCTGCAAAATTACTCGTGGGATTACGCAGCAGCAACATCGCCCCGACACTGGGAGAATTTGGCAGGATCCCTCCTGAAAAAAAGAGACTCGGTGAGGCGTTCCGTGGGTAGACAATGCGTAGAGTGAATGTTCTGCATTAGCGATGCCCGGCACGGCTTGGGTCTTCTCTCCAGGGACGTGGAAACGCAACGCTGACATGAGCCGTGCCACGCGCAAACGCACCGCGCTTTAAACATTTGACTTGATGACAAAATATGGAATGAATTCCAAACGTCATCATCACTTCTTGCGGACTCCGATGAAAACCAACCACACGTGCTATGCTAATTTGCGTTACCATTTGGATTTATAAAGCGTGTATATATATGCGACTGTGCCTCGCGACCCTGTATAGACACCGAGTGGCCATTTCATATATACGGATAGAGATCACGAGTTCCTGAGCCTGGAACGGAGCAGGGGAGATGGCCTGCGGCTCGGGTGGCCGGGGGAAGCGGCTTCCCTACACCGTGGGAGGCAGCAAAGGAACACGAGTGACCTCCAACAGAGCGAAGGTTCACCCGAGGCGTCCGTTGCCGGCGAGGAAGCAAGGCCAGGCGATTGCCATGTGCGTGACGGCGATCTAAGCCACGCGGCTTGGTCGCTCCGCGTCGGTGTCGGTCGCTCGTCCGGCCCGGCGCAGCCCGCCGAGCGCCGCCCGGATCCTCGCCACGAGGGCCCCCAGCGCCCGCTCGTCGCTCGCCTCCGTGGCCGCGGAGGCCGCGGAGTTCGGGCCTCTCTCCGTCGCTTCGCCGCCGCTCGGCTGTGAGAGGGCAGCAGCACGGTGGGTGGTGGAGGGGCACCGAGCGGCGACAACTCCCAGTTAGTTTGTTGGCGTTCCTCGCACTCCAGACATCCACACGGCAGCGGCTTCTGGCTGGGCCATCGGACGAAGACGGTGGTCAACGCATCAGCGCATCTGCACTGTGCTTCTGGGGCCGTCTGGAACGCTCTTCCGATATTAATAAGCCGCTGGAGTTATGCACTTTTAAATAAACGAGATTGACAAACTAATTTGTTAGAGCTACGTTTTGTGTTTAGTTTGTTGTCCTTCCCCCGCACCTCCGATTAGCCACGGTTGGCTACGCACGGCGCGAAATAAGTTCTACGCACGTACGTACGCGAGTATGCAACGAACGTAACGACGAGGACGAATGTCATCACTGACCGGCTGGTAGGCTACTCGGAGACGGACGCTGCGGTTCCGCGCCACGTAGGTCAGCACCGCGTCCTCCCGCGTGAGGAGCCGGACCCGGGGGGCGCGGGCACCGAGCGGCACGTCCACGGGCTGCAGGGGCGGCGCGTGGGCGTGGTGACCGCACGCGGCCGCGTCCTCCCAGAGCCAGCGCCGCGTCTCCCAGCCCCCCGCGCCGTAGCAGCGGCCCCCGCTCGGCGTCACCACCAGCCTGCCTCGCCGCACGCAACCACCGGAACGGGCACGCGGCGTGTATCCCGAGCTGTGAGTGAGCTGTGAGTGAGTGAGCTGTGTGTGAGCTGTGTGAGAGTGAGCTGTGAGTGAGTGAGCTGTGTGTGAGCTTTGTGTGAGTGAGTGAGCTGTGAGTGAGCTGTGAGTGAGTAAGTGAGCTGTGAGTGAGTGAGCTGTGAGTGAGTGAGTGAGCTGTGAGTGAGTGAGCTGTGAGTGAGCTGTGAGTGAGTGAGCTGTGTGTGAGTGAGAGTGAGTGAGTGAGCTGTGAGTGAGTGAGCTGTGTGTGAGCTGTGTGAGTGAGCTGGAGTGAGTGAGTGAGTGTGTGTGTGAGTGTGAGAGTGAGCTGTGAGTGAGTGAGCTGTGAGTGAGTGAGCTGTGAGTGAGCTGTGAGTGAGTGAGTGAGCTGTGAGTGAGCTGTGAGTGAGTGTGTGAGTGAGCTGTGTGTGTGTGAGTGTGAGTGAGTGAGTGAGCTGTGAGTGAGTGAGTGAGCTGTGAGTGAGTGAGTGAGCTGGAGTGAGTGAGCTGTGTGTGAGCTGTGTGTGAGCTGTGTGAGTGAGTGAGCTGGAGTGAGTGAGTGTGTGTGTGAAAGTGAGCTGGAGTGAGTGAGTGAGCTGGAGTGAGTGAGTGTGTGTGTGAGTGTGAGAGTGAGCTGGAGTGAGTGAGTGAGCTGTGTATGTGTGTGAGTAAGTAAGCTGTGTGTGTGAGTGAGCTGGAGTGAGTGAGCTATCTGAGCGAGCCGGCTCACCGGACGCCCCCCGAGGCTGACACACACACGGCGCCTCCGCCCGCGGCCCCAAGCACGGCGAGGACGCGGCCGCCCTGGGCCCAGGCGACCCACACGAGGCGCCCCCCGGGGCCCCGCGCGGCCTGCAGCACCACGCGCCCCGCCGGGTCCCTGGCCCCGCAGCGCCAAAGCGGTCAAGGATCCACGCGAGCAACGCCGCAGTGGCGAGGTGTCAACCTCCTCGCCTGGTGTGCGGGAGGTCGTGGGCTCCATCCCGCACCTCAGATTCGCACGGTGCCAACATAGTTGCAACGTACACAGCGACACTCACGCCCGTTGTCATATTCGCAGGTTGCATGTTCTCCCCATAGGTTGCGTGGATTTTTTCTCCGGATCTTAATACGCATACTTCATTTAGAATAAATACGCCTTTAGAGTATTTGGCTACTTTCAATGTCCACGTGATAAGACACCTCGTTCAGCTATCATTTTGATAGCGAGGTCACTTCTGGAAAAGGACGAATAGTTCAAGTGGGCCTTACCTGGTAAAATGAATTTTAAAAATGTTTTGTGATTTGCTTACCTTTAAACTCCTATCGTGTTTTTTTTGTTGGTATTGTTCGTTGTTGTAACTTTCTGACCCGTGTCCCTACTGGACATCTATGAAAGAGAGCTTGTCAGCTCGTCGGGATTTCTCCAGCCTTAAATCGACTCCCATCCTGAAAGATTGCACCGCAGGAACCGGCACAGCGTGGGGGGGGGGGGGCATGGGGAGAGCGGTCGCCGGCAATGCCGCGCGAGGTGGGGGGGAGAGTGTGGTGATTCAGAGAGGGTGAGGGAGAGCGCGGAGTTTTTGGGGCTGTCGAAGAGTGGCGCGCTGTGGGACCCATTTCTGCTCTAGCCGCGACACCGCGACTCCTTTGCCGAGGGCCCCATTGTGTGCTTCATGAGCTAGACACCAATGTACGTTGAACTTCTTTCGCACCGTACGTAGCCAGCCGTGCTAATTGGAGGTGCGGGTGAAGGACAACAAACCGAGAGCCACAAACTCGCTCGGAGAGTGTCCATCGCCCGTTGCTCCTCCGCTTGGCCATGACGAGAGGGAATGGGGAGAGAGTTTGTGTAGTTTTGAGATTCCTCCTCCGTCGAAGGAGCGCAGACCACAGCTGTTTTTTTCTGTGTGGTCCATAGTTTGGGCTGCATGGCCACAATCGCACTGCCGTGGCTTGTCTAATATATCTCTATGGGTCTCTGTGAAAGTGTATCTCCTTGGGTCTCTAGATATCTCCATGGGTCTCTATCTCTATAAGTTTCTACGTATCTCTCGGGGTTTACCACATGGTCCATAGTTTGGTTTGCATGGCCACAATCGCACTGCCGTCACTCGTCTTACATGTCCCATCGATGAAGGAGATTTGCGCACTGGCCTGGTGATGTTCTGATGGTTCCACCACCAGTGTGTACGAGGAGGAAATGTCAAAGCCAGGAGATGCAATACTTGCACCTCGAATGCGGAGTTCATTCTGAACGTCTGCACCCAGGGCCCAGTGAGGCCACTAATTCTACAAATTTAAAACGAATTTTCTTTAGAAATTATTTTTGTGTCTAGTTTGTTGTTCTTCCCCCGCACCTAAAATTAGCACGGTTGAATACGTACGGTGTGCAAGAAGTTAAACATACATACGAGTTTTGATTTAAAGCTTTCGTGACTGCAGTAATTCATATTCTTAGCTCTTTCGGTAAAGTCACGTTAAAGGGAAACATAATAAATATATATTTTATAATTTTATTGTTTCCCTTTAACGTGACTTTACCGAAAGAGCTAAGGATATACATACGAGTGTCCTTGACACCAGGAGCGACTGTGGAGCTGATCTGCCCACTTATCATCGGCTTGTCATCTGTAAGATGTGCTTGCCATTCTTCCACTCTGGTGGTGGGTGTCCACCTAGGACCCCATTCAAACCCACAGTGGCCTGGTCTCGGGCTCGCAGATGATGGTAGTTGCAAGCAGGATGCTATGCACTTTTAAATCTACGCGGAACACTAATATCTTTAGAACTGCTTTTTGTGTTTGGTTTGTTGTCTTTCCCCCGCACCTCCAATTAGCCGGGGTTGGCTACGTACGTTACCAAACAAGTTCAACGTACGTATACTACACTATACACTACAATACACACTACACTACACTATACACTACAATACACACTACACTATACTATACACTACAATACACACTACACTATACACTACACTATACACCGCACTATACACTACAATACACACTACACTATACTATACACTACACTATACACTACACTATACACTACAATACACACTACACTATACTATACACTACACTATACACTACACGACACTATACACTACACTATACACTACACTACACACTACACTATACACTACACTATAGACTACACTACACACTACACTATAATATGCACTACAATACACACTGCACTACACTATATACTACAATACACACTACACTATACTATACACTACAATACACACTACACTATACTATACACTACACTATACACTACAATACACACTACACTATACACTCACTATACACTACAATACACACTACACTACACTATATACTACACTATACACTACAATACACACTACACTATACTATACACTACACTATTCACTACACTATACTATACACTACAATACACACTACACTATACTATACACTACACTATACACTACACGACACTATACACTACACTACACACTACACTATACACTACACTACACTATAGACTACACTACACACTACACTATAATATGCACTACAATACACACTGCACTACACTATATACTACAATACACACTACACTATACTATACACTACAATACACACTACACTATACTATACACTACACTATACACTACAATACACACTACACTATACACTCACTATACACTACAATACACACTACACTACACTATATACTACACTATACACTACAATACACACTACACTACACTATACACTACAATATACACTACACTATACACTACACTATACACTACAATACACACTACACTATACTATATACTACACTATACTCTACAATATACACTACACTACACACTACAATATACACTATACACTACACTATACTATACACTACACTATACACTACACTACACTATACACAACACACTACAATATACACTAAACTACACTATACACTATACTATACACTACAATATACACTACACACTACACTACACACTACACTATACACGACACTATACACTACAATATACACTACACTATACACTACACTATACACGACACTATACACTATAATATACACTACACTATACACTAAATTTGGATAGCACACAACAGCAGCAGCATCGCCGCCACCCCCACTGTGCAAACTTGGCAGGACTCTCCTGAAAAAGCATCTTGAGACTCAGGGAGGCTTTGGCGGTGAAATAAGTGTAAGTAAAACAATAAGTTTAACTAAAGTAATAAGTGTAACTAAAGTAATGTGTCCAAAAAGTATCCACGTTGAGCTGTGGCGGTCTCTGATAAGGCAAGAGATGACGTAAACGTGTTGGTGTTCTGGCTGCACTGCCCCCACGCGAATCATTCATCTTGAGGAAGGGAGTTACTGCGTTGTTTGTATTCGAGTGGCCTTGTTATGACATTTCACACGATAGCAAGGCAGGGGGGCGGGGGGGGGCTTTGCTCTAAAGAGCAACAACCTCACTTTACAGTTGCTTAGTACAGATCCAAAGGGCAACAACGTAAATCAACCAGGAACAAGCAGCGCTGTCAAAGTTGGAATAGATAATGGTTGACACGTTTCTCGATTTCGGCAAGGTTACGGGAGCGTTGGGGAAGAGAGAGACGATGGGAGGGAAGTCCAAAGTCGATCAGTGCAAGGCAACAAGCAGAAATACGTGACCTGCAGTGTGGTGAGACAGTGGGTGAGTGGTGGGTGAGTGAGTGAGTGGGTGAGTGGTGGGTGAGTGGGTGAGTGAGTGGGCGAGTGAGTGTGCGAGTGAGTGGGGGAGTGAGTGGTGGGTCTGTTGTTACGACCTGCAGTGTGGTGAGTGGGAGAGTGAGTGAGTGAGTGTGCGAGTAAGTGAGTGGGTGAGTGAGTGGGTGAGTGAGTGAGTGGGTGAGTGGGCGAGTGAGTGTGCGAGTGAGTGGGCGAGTGAGTGGTGGGTCTGTTGTTACGACCTGCAGTGTGGTGGTTGAAAGCAGTGAGGTGAAACGGTCAGTGTCTGGTGGACCGAGTCCAAACATGGGTGGAGGAAGCAACGAGTGAAGTTGACAGGAACAGTAAAGTATGATGGCGGTAGTAGAATAAGTGATAAGAGAGTGATAAGGGGATGGCTGACCACCGGTGAGCAAGCGGGTGACTGGGGTGAATCGGTGAGCGCTCACTCACTCTCTCACCCACTCACTCATCATCATTCACCCTGAACGCTGCGTTGCTCCGAAGCCTCTCGTGTACAAATGCACCTGGAGAAGTATCCGCGCCCTGCGGGCTTCAGAAGGATACAGCACGTGCCCCGTCCCGTCTGCAAAAAAGGTCGAAAACTTGCGTCCGCCTTCGTAGAAGCGCTCCACGACCTCTCCGCGCTGCGCACAGACGCCGCCGGGGATGAGCGGTCCCTACGGAGGAGTCATCGCAGACAGAAGCGGGGGGGTCCCCACGAGGGCCGACGCGTGCTGCTGGGGTAGTTAAACTCAAACGGTTTGTTATTATTTTGTTTGCCAGGCGAGGCCCACTGAGCTGCGTGGCTCTTTTGCAGAAGTGACCTGGCCACAAATGATAGCTCAACGAAGCGGCGTATCATCACGTGGAAATGTCTAGCAGCCACATCCTCTAAATGTGGAGGGAAAAACAGGAGGACCCGGAAAAAAATACGCGTGACCAAGGGGAAAGAGACACCGCAAACTCCAAATATACAGCAGCAGCAGGAGTCAGGGTCAGGATCGAACCCACGACCTCCTGTACACCAGGCGAGGTAGTTAACACCCCCTAGCCACCGTGGTGATGATGATGAAAGAGAGAGAGAAACGCAAACTCCAAAAACGCAGCAGCAGGCGTCAGGGTCGGGATCGAACCCACGCCCTCCTGCATACCAGGCGAGGTAGTTAACATCTCCTAGCCAAAGTTGCTCCTCTGCACTCTCAGCGCGCCCAGAGGGAAGGCCCCAGGACGCCGTACCCGTGCGTGTGGCTGGGCCCCGGGCTGCCGGGCGCTGGAGTGCGGCTCCGTGGGGTGGGCGGGCGGGCGCCGCGGGGCAGGCAGCGCGAACGAGACGGTGCGGTGCAGCTCTGCGGAGAAACCACCCGGCGCACCCCCCTCAAGGTGACGTCATCACGAGGACCCCCGCATGCTGCGGAGCGCTGTGGCACGCGGTTCAGACGCACCCGTGGTCCTTGGTGAAAACTCGGGAACAAAAAACGGAAAATTGCGCAGAGACGCGCGGAGAGAGGGAATTACTTTAAGGTGTACGGTGAACTTATTTCGCACCGTGCGTAGCCATCCATGCGCATCGGAGGTACGGGGTTTCTTTCGGACACACTGGAATGCACGGCAGGGAGAATATGTGCACGCAAACAACATATCGAGAACATCGAGTGGGGCTGGGGCAGGACCCGTCACGTCCTCACGGCCGGGGGCCTACCGTCCTGTCGCTCAAGAATCCGGGCCACGATGCGATCCCTCCGCCTGCAACACGGAGAGAGGAGGGCGTCTGGGTGACACCGCCTGCTACGGGACTAACGCTGCATCACGCCGCTCCACACCGCACCACGCCACATCGCATCGCACCCCACCGCACCACGCCGCTCCATGCCGCTCCACACCGCACCATGCCGCTCCACGCCGCACCACGCCGCTCCACTCCGCTCCACACCACATCGCACCGCTCCACGCCGCTCCATGCCGCACCACGCCGCTCCACTCCCCTCCACACCACACCACGCCGCTCCATGCCGTGCGTTCCCGATCAGGGACCATGATTCCGCTCGGTAGGGGGGGGGGCGGAATTTCCAGGCAATCGTTGCCAGCAATTGTCACCGGCAACACGTGGAGCTACCAAACAGGACTTGGCGGGCGACAGAATGGAGCGACGTTGAGATTGCGCGGGAAGTAAAAACGACAAGTGAAGAATTGGTGTGCAGGGCACAGGGTTCGAACCCCCGCTTTAACTGACACGTGATGAGTGTTTACGAGAGGTCTTGCAAGAGTCGTACAAATTGCATTTATATATTTGTAGGGAAATTACAATCCAAAACATAAAATGTTAACTCGTATCGAACTAACATCCCAATGCTGAAACATTACGCTGCAAATTGCTCAACTGGGATCGTGCACAGCAGAAACATCGCCCCGCAATGCGAAAACCTGTCAGGACACTCTTGGAAACGAGTCTTGAGGCTCACTGAATAGAGAGTCCCGGAGTAAACGAGTGGAGGGACAGGAACGGCGCGTGTCGTCTCTTACTCCTGGACGAGAACTGCGCGATTGGGACCTTCCGCATCCTCGGCGTGCCACGGGGCCGGCACCTCGTGACCCCACGCCTCTCGCACCGTCTCCCAAAGCGCCTCGCAGCAGAACCACTGCACAGAGACACGGGGAGAGTGGAACCACTGCACATGAGACACGGGGAGAGTGGAACCACTGCACAGAGACACGGGGAGAGTGGAACCACTGCACAGAGACACGGGGAGAGTAGAACCACTGCACAGAGACACCGGGAGAGTGGAACCACTGCACAGAGACACGGGGAGAGTGGAACCACTGCACAGAGACACGGGGAGAGTGAAACCACTGCACAGAGACACGGGGAGAGTAGAACCACTGCACAGAGATACGAGGAGAGTGGAACCACTGCACGGAGACACGGGGAGAGTGGAACCACTGCACAGAGACACCGGGAGAGTCAAACCACTGCACAGAGACACGGGGAGAGTGGAACCACTGCACGGAGACACGGGGAGAGTGGAACCACTGCACAGAGACACCGGGAGAGTCAAACCACTGCACAGAGACTTCGGGGAGAGTGGAACCACTGCACAGAGACACGGGGAGAGTAGAACCACTGCACAGAGATACGAGGAGAGTGGAACCACTGCACGGAGACACGGGGAGAGTGGAACCACTGCACAGAGACACCGGGAGAGTCAAACCACTGCACAGAGACACGGGGAGAGTGGAACCACTGCACGGAGACACGGGGAGAGTGGAACCACTGCACAGAGACACCGGGAGAGTCAAACCACTGCACAGAGACACGGGGAGAGTGGAACCACTGCACAGAGACACGGGGAGAGTGAAACCACTGCACAGAGACACGGGGAGAGCGGAACCACTGCACAGAGACACCGGGAGAGTGGAACCACTGCACAGAGACACGGAGAGAGTGGAACCACTGCACAGAGACACGGGGCGAGTGGAACCACTGCACAGAGACACGGGGCGAGTGGAACCACTGCACAGAGACACAAGGAGAGTGGAACCACTGCACGGAAATTCCGCGGTTCGTAGTTTGGAGTTCATAGCAGCAGTCGGACACAAGAGAGGAAGTCTCCGATTCTGCGCGCGCGAGGCGAGGCCTATCCACCGCCTCTCCCGTGGTGTGTGCCGGCCCGGCAAAGCGCTGCTGCCCCCAGTCGCTCCGTGGAAGGTGGGAGACTGGCGGCGGCGTCGCGGGGGGTCACCTGGCAAGGCTCGGTCGTGGGGGGGGGGTCACCTGGCAAGACTCGGGCGTGGGGAAGGTCACCTGGCAAGCCTCGGTCGTGGGGGGGGGGGGGTCACCTGGCAAGGCTCGGGCGTGGGGGGGGGGTCACCTGGCAAGCCCAAAAGCAACGAAGCTCAGCCCCGCTGACTGTCCAAGATCTCAATGATATGGGGGCGCATTTGAGTAATTTGGCCCCGAGGCATTCGTCATGAAGAAGTGAAATGAAGTAAATGAGCGTGCTTCGAGGGACGGGTGGGGACTGTACAAACATTCCAGAGGAGATTTTAATTCTGTAATGAGAACTTGAAACTGGTATAAATACACACACACTGCGCAAATACAAACAACCTTGTGGGCCAAATGGCAGCCAGCCGGGCCTCTTTTTTGTCCACAGATGCAATTTGTTTCTCTCTTTATATTTGCATTTGTATTCACCCGCGCGTGTGTGTATTAGTCTGTGAATTAATCTGTCTCTGTGCATAGATGTATGGGGAGGGCTGCAGTGGCTAGGAAATGTTAACTGCCTCGCCTAGCATGCAGGAAATCGTGGGTTCGATCCCGACCCTGGCGCCGGCTGTTTATTTGGAGTCTGCGTGTCTCGCTCCCCGTGGTCGCGTGGGTTTTTCTCCGGGCCCTCGGTTTTTCCCTCCACGTTTTGAATCAACATCACGCGTTTAGAGTGTTTGGCTGCTATACATCTCCACGTGATAAGCGACTTCGCTGAGCTATAACTTGTGGCCGGGTCTCTTCTGAAAAATAACTACATAGCTCAGTGAGGCTTACCCCGTACAAAAGTAAAGAAACAGGTAGCATTCTGCGCTGTGAACGAGGCAACCCGAGTTCAATTCCCGCTCACGGCCAATACCGGTGACGATTATCTGAACCGGCCTTGGGCCTCCCCTAGGTCGACTCAGCATAAAACGATTACCTGGTGCGGCGTGTAGTAAACATCGCCACTGGGGAGACAAAGGCGGCCGGGCGTGGTGCTGACCACCCACCCCCTCGTGTCCCGTGCCGGCCTTCATTAGTTGCCACTCGCAAACGGCACTTGCCCCAACAGTCCGTTAAGGCCATGCGGGGGGGTCTTCGTCTCTCGTGTTTGTGAGCGCGCGTGCCGAGACTTGGCACCCTGCCGCTCACCGTGCGCTCAGGACGGCCGCCGGCGGCCACGTGGAGGTGCCACTCGCTGGGGCGGCCGCAGGAGCGGCACGGAGTCGCGGCGTCCTGGGTCACACAACAGGCAGACGAAGACCCCCCCCCGCCCCCGTGAGACGCGGGGGGAAGGGGGCTGTTGGGAAGAGTGCTGCGAGTATCGAGTGGCACCCCCTACGAAGGCCGGCACGGCGCACAAACAGAGGCGGGCGGTGCGGCCAGGAACCACGCCCGGCCGCCTTTGTCTCCCACGTGGCAATGTTTCCCGCACCGTACCAGGAAATTATTTTAGGCTGAGTCGACCTAGGGGAGGCCCAGGACCGGTTCAAAAAATTCGCCACTGTTATTGGTCGTGAGAGGTAATCGAGCTCGGGTCGTTGGCTGCGTAAGGTGCGGAAGAAGTTCAACATACGTAGGTAGGTCGGGTTCGTAGAGCAGCGCGCTAACTAGTGCGAAGCCGTTCCCACACACGCACACACAGAAATGTAGATGCACATGCAGACTGATTCGAGTACACGGAGGCATAGAGACGAATACACAAAAAACACAAACAACAAATCAACACGTTGTTTTTTTTGCAGTCAACTTGGTGACTGTGAATTGAGTATTGGTAGGCCGCGTAGCGATCGGAGTTTTAGAAACAATGTCACAATCGTGAATCAAAAATAGCAGCCGCCAATCGCCACCAAGTGGCAGTGATGTCAACATAGCACTGGTGCCAGGCTAGGTGCACTCTGAGGCCCACAGGAAGTTTGTCATAGGCCCGCTGCTGGCAGGAAGTCATGGGATAGACCCCAAGGTGGTTTTGGGTTGACAGAGGGGACTGGGCTCCCCAATGTTGCCACCTCGCTGAGTTTTAGACGCCCGGCGCTCCGCTCGTTGTTGTGAGCGTCACTCCTCATTGTTGCAGGGGCCCCATCGCCTCCCAACTGGCCCAGAGCAGCGTCCTTTTCAGTTTCATGTCTTAGGTATGCGGCTCTTGACTCGATTGCTCTTTTATTTGGACGTGGACTTTTAATTGCGGAGAGAGAAAAAAAGTTTAACACGTAGGCTTTCGCGACCAATATTATTCATAATAAAGGTTTTTGGGTTAGATCGCGTTTATGTATAAATGTGTCGTAACCCTCCACCACCCGACACGGCCAATCAGCAAAGAAAAGTGTCACGTTGACAAAAGACAAATAATTCACTACTTCAGCCCACCGGTGTGTTGAAGAGTTAATCCACATTTACAGTTTGAGTACGACGTTTCGCTGGTAAATACTTCCAGCATCATCGGGCAATTCGCCAGAATGGTAAAGCCCTCGCTTGCTCCCGGTTTTATATAGAGCAGAAGAGTGACGTCATCACTTAACTCATCAGGTGCAGTGATTAGAGGCGGAGGGGGGGGGGTAATGTAATTATATAATCGATTAGTAATCAGTCATTGGTTATGATTAGTAATGAGTTGTAGATAAGTAATTCTTTAAATCAAAATGTAATGTGTATTATTTAATAATACGCTTCCAGGCCGCACTAAGCCGGTAGCTGTCAGAGCGATTAAAGTTATTCTTGTTCCTCTCAATTTCAATGGATTCTCTAATTAGTCTTTGCCAGTAATAATTAGTTTTACACACCACTGCAACATTGTCAAAATCAATTGAGTGTCCTTGTTGACAAGCATGTTCTGCGATCTAACCCAAAAACCTTTATTATGAATAATATTGGTCGCGAAAGCCTACGTGTTAAACTGACTAACCTCTATGGGGAGGATACTTTTCTTAAAACCAGAAAATTGGAGAAGCTTCGCATTAAGCGGATGAAATTGATATCTTCACTGGCGTCCCTCAAAAGGTGCAGAGATTCAAAGGTAATACCAAACGCAGTTAAAATAACACATCACATAAAGTCTTCTAAAGCTAACCAAATACTACACAAAGCTAGCGAATTATTATTAATAGAGAGAATACAGCACAATAGGAGTGAATTATCTTACATTTCGGAATCGCTAAAGCAGTTACACTTAGATATAAGCAATCGTGTATCTATGCATTATTGGAATATAATCGATAACATAACACAACAATCGGCTGATAATGTGTTTAAACTAACAAAAACTAACCAAATTAATAAATTTTCTAGACTACATAATAAACAAATCCCTACTGAAAACCAAAAATGTAAAAACAAAACTGTACTGAACTTGACCAACACTGTATTAACCGGTGACATGGTCTCTATCCTTTCTAAAGGCCTTAACTTTGCCGTTACCCCACGCACAATTCCAGTGGATGAGATAATTGCTGAGGTAGAATCAGCAGTTAGACTCCTTCCACATAATGAGGCAGAGATGACTAGACATGAGGTTGCTAAAATAATTGAGAATAGCAAAGTTCCAAAAGTAAATATTAGCTCTAACGAGGCAAAAGCCTTAAGAGAGCTGCGTGTAAATAAGGATATCCAAATCCTAGCAGCTGATAAAGGCCGCACTACTGTACTGATGTCACGAGCCGATTATGATAATAAAATTAGAAATTTACTAGAGGAAAGTACCTACATTAAAATTAAATGAGATCCAACTAATACTTTAGAACGTAAGACCACTGCAATAATTGCAAATTCATTAATCCCTAAAAATGAGCAATACCTAATTAAGCCAAGGGCCTCAAAACCACCTAGACTCTATGGGCTACCAAAGATTCATAAAATCGGCATCCCATTACGACCCATAGTCAGTACAATTGGCTCTGCCACATATCAATTAGCAAAATATATAACCAAACAAATACAGCCCTACATCGGTAAGACATCTTCATTCATAAAAAAATCAGAACATCTTGTGAATGTGATTAAAGATATTAAACTTACTCCTGATGATATTCTGGTAAGCTTTGATGTGATTTCTCTATTCACTAAGGTTCCAGTGGACGAATCGCTTAAATTACTTGATACACTAGTAAAGAATACCGGTTTACAAAAAGATATTCCGAAACTTGCTGGCCATTGCTTAAATAACACTTACTTCTTATGGAGAGGGGATTTCTTTAAACAAAAGGAAGGAGCAGCAATGGGTTCTCCTTTATCCCCTGCTATAGCAAATTTGTACATGGAAAACTTTGAAATAAGAGCACTTGCCTCGAGCACATTAAAACCATCCTTTTGGTTTAGGTATGTGGATGACACTTTGGTTGTCTGGCCACATGGTAAAGATACACTTAATGATTTTCTAAATCATCTCAATGCACAAAACCCGGCCATCCAGTTCACCATGGAAATGGAGGTGAATAACACACTCCCATTCCTAGATATTTTGCTTGGACATGGCCTAAACGGTAAAATAACACACAGCGTTTACAGAAAGCAAACGCACACTGATGCCTATCTGAATGCAGAATCACATCATCATCCAGCTCAAAAATCCTCTCTTATCAAGACGCTCGTACATCGGGCGAAAACAGTGTCAGATGGTGAGAGTCTAGTGAGAGAGATTAAACACGTTAAAGACGCACTACGACAGAATGGCTACAATAATGCTCAAATTAACAGAGCACTAAATGCCAAATCACGATCGCAAAGCAATACTACTGAAAGCGACCAGATTGTTAAAACAATAAAAATTCCATATATCTCAGGAGTAACTGACAAATTAGCCCGCGTTTTGCAAAAGCAAAACATTACAGTAAGATTTGGTACAGTACACAAAATTCAAAAACTAGTATCTTGCACTAAAGACGCATTACCTAAACTATCAACAGAAGGTGTATATCGGATTAATTGTTCATGTGGCAGCTGCTACATTGGGCAGACGGGATGTAACATCAGCGTAAGACTAAAAGAACATCAGAGAAATATTAAATTATCTCAAACACAACTGTCGGCAGTGGCAGAACATGCTTGTCAACAAGGACACTCAATTGATTTTGACAATGTTGCAGTGGTGTGTAAAACTAATTATTACTGGCAAAGACTAATTAGAGAATCCATTGAAATTGAGAGGAACAAGAATAACTTTAATCGCTCTGACAGCTACCGGCTTAGTGCGGCCTGGAAGCGTATTATTAAATAATACACATTACATTTTGATTTAAAGAATTACTAATCTACAACTCATTACTAATCATAACCAATGACTGATTACTAATCGATTATATAATTACATTACCCCCCCTCCGCCTCTAATCACTGCACCTGATGAGTTAAGTGATGACGTCACTCTTCTGCTCTATATAAAACCGGGAGCAAGCGAGGGCTTTACCATTCTGGCGAATTGCTTGATGATGCTGGAAGTATTTACCAGCGAAACGTCGTACTCAAACTGTAAATGTGGATTAACTCTTCAACACACCGGTGGGCTGAAGTAGTGAATTATTTGTCTTTTGTCAACGTGACACTTTTCTTTGCTGATTGGCCGTGTCGGGTGGTGGAGGGTTACGACACATTTATAAATAAACGCGATCTAACCCAAAAACCTTTATTATGAAGAGAAAAAAAAGGTTAAAAAAGACGCAACATATCCCGATGAGGGTTCCTCTTAGGAGACGTCTTCCTGGCTGCCCGTTGTGACACTGAAAGGCAGTGTGTGGTCTCCCCCACCCCCACCGCCACTGAGAACCGACAAACATAGTTATTTAATTGATCTTTACCAGACAAAATACCTTGAACTATTGTATTATTAACCTGGGGTCCCCGTTTAAAATGCGTGAAATAATGGGACCGTACCACAACCCTCTGTGGAAGCTTCTAGAAGCGGCCTCTGTTTGAGGGTTATTATTACTTTGCCGCAATTTATGTGTTTGTAAAGCGTTGCTTTATTTACAACATATTTGTGCTTTTTTTAACCCCAGGAAAAATCTCCGTGAGTCTGCACACTCTTTTTGAATTCCTGCAGTCACGAAAGCTTTAAGTCAAGATTTAGTCTGAAGACTTGTTTTCAGGAGGGTCCTGCCAGCTTGTCACGGTAAGGGGAGGGCGATGTTGCTGGCGTGTGCGCGATCCCAATTGAGACATTTGCAGGGTTTATTTGTCATCGTAATTGGGATGTTTGGCCAACCAATAGTCGCGTGGTTTTGTTTCAGCTACGGGAGGACATTGGAGAACCTGGAGGGAACCCACGGGGGACAAACAGGGGGCGAGAACACACAGACTCCACGCAGGCAGGCACCCCAATAGGGTATCGATCTTCTTGCTGTGAGGCGTGAGTGCTCCCACTGCGCTTTCGTAGATGATCACATCCGAGGCTTGGCCGATGACGACGGCACGATGGAGCGGGCCAACTCGCGTGACCCAAGACCACTTTGTCCGTGGGCAAGCGCGTTGGTTAATCCCCCACAGCAAGTCACAGGGGGCTTATGTGGAGACCGATTGTAGAGTCAGTGGGAGCTCTCACTGCCACGACGCTTTGCAAATGTTACAGGGAAGCTTGACCAACACAACGGGGTCCCTGTAACCCGCACAGCGACGGGACTGTACAGAGCTGTGGGAAGCAAACTGCAGGTTATTTGTGACTGATGTCTAACTCGGCCTCCGCGTGCGTCTGTGTGTGTAGGTCATGTGTGAGTGTGCGCGTGTTTGTGTGCCAGCGATGAGTCACTGCAAAGGAAAATTCCATGGTTAAACATTAAGCGAGCAGTGACTGTCAGAGTGCAGTGATTGTCGTGTTGTGGTGCGTAGACAAATCAGGGTTTGTGGTCTAGACTCGAGGTCAAGAACGATGGTCGAGGGGGACAGCCTGCGTCATCGATAGACCGTGGACAACACCGCACGTCACAGCAGGCGCACGCTTAAAATGTTCACGGTGAAAAAATGTCTCCTTAGACAGGCGTCCCTCGCGAGAGATATCGCATCCTGAATTCATCCTCACTCTGGAATTGATTGGGGTGTGCGTTAAGGCACACACGCGCACACGATCATGTCCAGTTAGAAGTTGACCTCAGCGGCAGCGAACAAGACTACCAAGCAGATCATTTTGCCTTCTTTCCGTACCTGTCCCTCGACTTAATAAAAGTGTAAATACGCATCCCATCATCCGCTCCTCCGATTAGCACGGTTGGCTACGTACGGTGCGAAAGAAGTTCAGCATACATACATACAACCACGCGGCCTTCTGGGGGTGCATCATTTCAGCGAGCCTGACTGCTGATGAGACATTGGAATGCCAAAACCGGACCGGAGTTTGGCATTGTGTTGCACACATCTAGAACCTCTACAAAGAGCGGCGATCCGTGCCACCGCTGGACCCACGTCGCCGCTACCGCTGGGTGGCACGACGCTAGTGTGGTGGCACCGCTGGGTGGCACCACACTAGTTGGGTGGCACCGCTGGGTGGCACCACACTATTCTAGATTTGAAGCTTTCGTGACTGCAAGGATCCATACTCTTTGGTTCTAGTCGGTAAAGTCACGTAGGTAAAAAATAAAACAACAAAAATCACGACGTTTCGGCCACAACACAAGTGGCCTTCATCAGGTGAAGGGACCAGACTGTCTCGAGGACAGCGCTGGAGTGAACACAGCCAAGCTCAGTATGGCACCACACTAGTATGGTGCCACACTAGCGTGGTGCCACTGCTGGACCCGCATCGCCGCTACCGCTGGGTAGCACGACGCTAGTGTGGTGGCACCGCTGGACCCGCGTCGCCCCCCCATGCGTCTCCACCGTGGACACCCCACGGTGGCAACAAGTGCGGAGTGGAGCAGCAAACTTGCCTCCTGTGATCGAAGTTCTCCGTCCCGTTGCCTCGCCCCTCCGTCACAGGCGTCGCGGTCGCAGGGAGCGGCCTCGCTCGGCACGTCCGGGCTCTGCTCGGCCACCGGGGTCCTGGCTGCAGTCTCCTGCATCTCCTCCGACTCTCCAATGTCCAGAAGGTTCTCCATGAGTCCCTGCAGGTGCCACCCTGGGAGGCGACGCAGAGGCACGCGACGCACTCGCTCAGCAGCACGCGACGCTCTCCACGTGGAGTTCAGCGTCGTCCTCGTCAATCCACAAGCTGCTTCTGGATTGAAAACTCACTTCTTTACAACTGATTTTGGCGTTAAGTTTGCTGTCCTTCCCCCTGCACCTCCGATCGGCACGCTTGGTTACCTACGGTGCGAAAGAAGTTCAACGCACATGCAGTGCATACATCTCGTGAGACTGTAATAGTCCATCTTAGAACCTGCACACGACATGAGTTCGTCACTCCATCTCCACGGCAGACGTCAACCTCAGACGTGCTACGTTCTTTGGCCGCCCGTCATTATTCTTGACCGCCACGTGGAATCAAAACCGTGTTTAGTTCTCTTAGGGGCCGTCCATAAATGACGTCGCGCGATTTTGGACGATTTTTGACCCCCCCCCCCTCGTCACACGGCGTCACAAAAAAATCAGACCCCCCTTCAAATATGACGTCACAAAGCTCTGCCCCCCCCAAAATAAAACATGCTTCAAATCGCTTTAAACTACTGCCATTGAAGTTCGTATTTAATGTGGCGCTGCACTCTGATGTCGTAGAAGAAAACATTTATTAAAAAGTCTATTTAATTAAGTAGAACGTGTTGTCTATATTTATTTAAAGTTGCGCATTTTTATGTGACGTCACATTTCTCAACCCCTGCCCCCTAGCTGCATGACGTCATTTATGGACGGCCCCTTAGGGTTACGCACCGGTTGAGATTCAATGCAGGCGATTGAGAACCAGGTGAGAGAGCACCGAGCCCCTTTCTCCCAAGGACACCAGGGGACAGCTACAGATGGCAAAAACGTCGTGCAGGGCAGCGGTAACACTCACGCCTTGCAGCAAGAGTCTGGGTTCGATTCCAGACTCGGGTGCCTTTCTGCGTGGAGTCTTGTATGTTTGTATGTTCTCTCTCCTCTCTCCCTATGTTCGGCATGGGTTTACTCTGGGTTATCCAGTGTCCTCCCACAGCTAAAACATACAATGCTACTGATATTGGTCAAATATACCAGCGCTGAAATATGACCCGCAAATGACTCATTTGGGATCGCACACACAGAGCAACAACATCGCGTCCCTATAACAAAACAGAAAAAAAACTTTGGCAGGACCCTCCTGAAAAAGGGGTCTTGAGACTCAAGAGACGCTCTCGTGGGCAAACAAGCGTAGTAGTAGTAGTAGTAAAAATAATAACAATAACAACTTAACAGTGTCTATGTCGTGGGGCGAAGACACGAGTCAGAGACATGAGAGAGGAGACTGAAGTTGATCCCAGCTTGTCGTGAGCGAGTCATCGTGAACCGGGGGCTCGCGCAGCAATCGTCCGCTCCTGTCACACACGCCAGAAGAACCGGTAACCCGCTCTAAGGGAACCGGTTTACCCGATTCCAGTGGAATGCCGGCAATGAACGCAGACGCGATGGGGCACGGCGGGAAGGTACAAACCGCACGGTGGGCAAAGTCACCGTGCGGTTCGCCCGCCCCGGTTCCTCCTCAAGCTGCTCAAGGTTCTAAGCTGCTCAAGGTTCTAAGCTGCTCAAGGTTCTAAGCTGCTCAAGGTTCTAAGTTGCTCAAGGTTCTAAGTTGCTCAAGGTTATAAGCTGCTCAAGGTTCTAAGCTGCTCGAGGTTCTAAGCTGCTCGAGGTTCTAAGCTGCTCAAGGTTCTAAGTTGCTCAAGGTTCTAAGCTGCTCAAGGTTCTAAGCTGCTCAAGGTTCTAAGCTGCTCGAGGTTCTAAGCTGCTCAAGGTTCTAAGCTGCTCAAGGTTCTAAGTTGCTCAAGGTTCTAAGTTGCTCAAGGTTCTAAGCTGCTCAAGGTTCTAAGCTGCTCGAGGTTCTAAGCTGCTCAAGGTTCTAAGCTGCTCAAGGTTCTAAGTTGCTCAAGGTTCTAAGCTGCTCAAGGTTCTAAGCTGCTCAAGGTTCTAAGCTGCTCGAGGTTCTAAGCTTCTCGAGGTTCTAAGCTGCTCGAGGTTCTAAGTTGCTCGAGGTTCTAAGCTGCTCGAGGTTCTAAGCTGCTCGAGGGTCTAAGCTGCTCGAGGTTTTAAGCTGCTCGAGGTTCTAAGCTGCTCGAAGTTCTAAGCTGCTCGAGGGTCTAAGCTGCTCAAGGTTCTAAGCTGCTCAAGGTTCTAAGCTGATCAAGGTTCTAAGCTGCTCAAGGTTCTAAGCTGCTCAAGGTTCTAAGGCTCGCTCGCTCCCTGCTTGCAGGAGAAGCTCCTCCACTCGAGGGGACATTTTGGCCTCCCACTTGCACGCGGAGCGGACGTCTGAGAAGAGGTGGTTGTATCCACCACACTTTACACCACCACCACCACCACCACACTTTACACCACCACCACCACACTTTACACCACCACCACTTTACACCACCACCACCACCACCACACTTTACACCACCACCACACTTTACACCACCACCACCACACTTTACACCACCACCACACTTTACACCACCACCACCACCACCACACTTTACACCACCACCACCACCACACACGCGACAGCTGGTGAACAGGAGGTGGAGGAGGTGGTGAGTGGGTGGGTGAGGAGGTGGTGAGTGGGTGGATGAGGAGGTGGTGAGTGAGTGGGTGAGGAGGTGGTGAGTGGGTGAGGAGGTGGTGGTGAGTGGGTGGGTGAGGAGGTGGTGAGTGTGCGGTGCCAAAAACATCTCTCCGAGAGCTCCCGGCATCTCCTGCTGCTGCTGACCACGTGAACCTCTCCCTCGGTGTGCGTGTGGAGCCGCCAAAGGGGGTCCCGCCCGGCTCACGGCTCACGGCTCTCACCACTCTCACCGCTCTCACCGCTCACCACTCTCACCGCTCTCACCGCTCACCACCCTCACCGCTCACCACTCTCACCACTCTCACCGCTCTCACCACTCTCACCGCTCTCACCGCTCTCACCACTCTCACCGCTCACCACTCTCACCACTCTCACCGCTCTCACCGCTCTCACCACTCTCACCGCTCGCCACTCTCACCACTCTCACCGCTCTCACCACTCTCACCACTCTCACCGCTCACCACTCTCACCACTCTCACCGCTCTCACCGCTCTCACCACTCTCACCGCTCACCACTCTCACCACTCTCACCGCTCTCACCACTCTCACCGCTCACCACTCTCACCACTCTCACCACTCTCACGGCTCTCACCGCACTCACCACTCTCACCGCTCATGGCGCTCGCCACTCACCGCTCACCGCTCACGGCTCACCGCTCACCACTCACCGCTCACCACTCACCGCTCACCACTCACCACTCACCGCTCACCGCTCTCACAGCTCTCACCGCTCTCACTGCTCTCACCTCTCACCGCTCTCACCGCTCTCACCGCTCACCGCTCTCACCACTCTCACCGCTTACCGCGCTCACCACTTTCACCGCTCTCACCGCTCACCACTCTCACCGCTCACCGCTCTCACCACTCATCGCTCACCACTCTCACCACTCTCACCACTCTCACGGTTGTCACCGCTCTCACGGCTCTCACCGCTCACCACTCTCACCACTCTCACGGCCCTCACCGTTCACGGCTCTCACCACTCTCACCACTCTCACCGCTCTCACCACTCTCACCACTCTCACCGCTCACCACTCTCACCACCCTCACCACTCTCACCGTTCACCACTCTCACCACTCTCACCACTCTCACCGTTCACCACTCTCACCACTCTCACCACTCACCACTCTCACCGTTCACCACTCTCACCACTCACCACTCTCACCACTCTCACCACTCACCACTCTCACTGCTCACCACTCTCACCACTCTCACCGCTCTCACCGCCCTCACCGCTCTCACCGCCCTCACCACTCACCGCTCTCACCACTCTCACCACTCTCACCACTCACCGCTCTCACCACTCTCACCGCTCACCACCCTCACCACCCTCACCACTCACCGCTCTCACCACTCTCACCGCTCTCACCGCTCACCACTCTCACCACTCTCACCACTCACCGCTCTCAACGCTCTCACCGCTCTCACCACTCTCACCACTCTCACCACTCACCACGCTCACCGCTCTCACCACTCCCACCGCTCTCACCGCTCACCACCCTCACCGCTCACCACTCACCACTCTCACCGCTCTCACCACTCTCACCACTCACCGCACTCACCACTCTCACCGCTCACCGCTCTCACCACTCTCACCGCTCACCACTCTCACCACTCAACGCTCTCACCACTCTCACCGCTCTCACCGCTCTCACCACTCTCACGGCGCTCACCACTCTCACCACTCTCACCGCTCACCACTCTCACCGCTCACCGCTCTCACCACTCTCACGGCGCTCACCACTCTCACGACTCTCACCGCTCTCACCGCTCACCACTCTCACCGCTCTCACCACTCTCACCGCTCTCACCACTCTCACCGCTCTCACCACTCTCACCGCTCTCACCACTCTCACCGCTCACCACTCTCACCACGCTCACCGCCCTCACCACTCTCACCGCTCTCACCGCTCTCACCACTCTCACCGCTCACCACTCTCACCACTCTCACCACTCTCACGGCTCTCACCGCACTCACCACTCTCACCGCTCATGGCGCTCGCCACTCACCGCTCACCGCTCACGGCTCACCGCTCACCACTCACCGCTCACCACTCACCACTCACCGCTCACCGCTCTCACAGCTCTCACCGCTCTCACTGCTCTCACCTCTCACCACTCTCACCACTCTCACCACTCTCACCACTCACCGCTCACCACTCACCACTCACCGCTCACCGCTCTCACCGCCCTCACCGCTCTCACCGCCCTCACCACTCACCGCTCTCACCACTCTCACCACTCTCACCACTCACCGCTCTCACCACTCTCACCGCTCACCACCCTCACCACCCTCACCACTCACCGCTCTCACCACTCTCACCGCTCTCACCGCTCACCACTCTCACCACTCTCACCACTCTCACCACTCTCACCGCTCACCACTCTCACCACTCTCACCACTCACCGCTCTCAACGCTCTCACCGCTCTCACCACTCTCACCACTCTCACCACTCACCACGCTCACCGCTCTCACCACTCCCACCGCTCTCACCGCTCACCACCCTCACCGCTCACCACTCACCACTCTCACCGCTCTCACCACTCTCACCACTCACCGCACTCACCACTCTCACCGCTCACCGCTCTCACCACTCTCACCGCTCACCACTCTCACCACTCAACGCTCTCACCACCCTCACCGCTCTCACCGCTCTCACCACTCTCACCACTCTCACCGCTCACCACTCTCACCGCTCACCGCTCTCACCACTCTCACGACTCTCACCGCCCTCACCGCTCACCACTCTCACCGCTCTCACCACTCTCACCACTCACCACTCTCACCACTCTCACCGCTCTCACCACTCTCACCGCTCTCACCACTCTCACCACTCTCACCGCTCACCACTCTCACCGCTCACCACTCTCACCACTTTCACCACTCTCACCGCTCACCACTCTCACGGCTCTCACGGCTCTCACCGCTCTCACCACTCTCACCGCTCTCACCGCTCTCACCACTCTCACCACTCACCACTCTCACGGCTCTCACCACGCTCACCACTCTCACCGCTCACCACTCTCACCGCTCACCACTCTCACCACTCTCACCACTCTCACGGCTCTCACCACTCTCACCGCTCACCACTCACCGCTCTCACCGCTCTCACCACTCTCACCGCTCACCACTCTCACGGCTCTCACCACTCTCACCACTCTCACCGCTCACCACTCTCACCGCTCTCACCACTCTCACTGCTCACCACTCACCGCTCTCACCGCTCTCACCACTCTCACCGCTCACCACTCTCACCACTCACCACTCTCACAGCTCTCACCACGCTCACCACTCTCACCACTCTCACCGCTCTCACCACTCTCACTGCTCACCACTCACCGCTCTCACCGCTCTCACCACTCTCACCGCTCACCACTCTCACCACTCACCACTCTCACAGCTCTCACCACGCTCACCACTCTCACCACTCTCACGGCTCTCACCGTTCACCGCTGACCGCGGCCAATGTTTGGGTCTCCCGTTGGTTGCCGTTAGCAACAGTGGAGCTGAGCACAGAGCGAGTGAGGGAGAGCATCGGTCACTGTGTTCACGTGCAGGTGTGTGTAGTGTGTGTGTGTAGTGTGTGTGTGTAGTGTGTGTGTGTAGTGTGTGTAGTGTGTGTGTAGTGTGTGTGTAGTGTGTGTGTAGTGTGTGTGTGTGTAGTGTGTGTAGTGTGTGTGTGTAGTGTGTGTAGTGTGTGTGTAGTGTGTGTAGTGTGTGTGTGTAGTGTGTGTAGTGTGTGTAGTCTGTGTGTAGTGTGTGTGTGTGTAGTCTGTGTGTAGTGTGTGTGTGTGTAGTGTGTGTAGTGTGTGTGTAGTGTGTTCACGTGCAGGTGTGTGTAGTGTGTGTAGTGTGTGTGTAGTGTGTGTGTAGTGTGTGCAGTGTGTGTAGTGTGTGTGTAGTGTGTATGTAGTGTGTGTATGTAGTGTGTGTGTGCAGTGTGTGTAGTGTGTGTGTAGTGTGTGTAGTGTGTGTGTAGTGTGTGTAGTAGTGTGTGTAGTGTGTGTGTAGTGTGTGTAGTGTGTGTGTAGTGTGTGTAGTGTGTGTGTAGTGTGTGTGCAGTGTGTGTATGTAGTGTGTGTAGTGTGTGCGTTGTGTGTGTAGTGTGTGTATGTAGTGTATGTAGTGTGTTCACGTGCAGGTGTATGTAGTGTGTGTGTAGTGTGTATGTAGTGTGTGATGGTGTGTAGTGTGTGTAGTGTGTGATGGTGTGTGTGTGTAGTGTGTGTAGTGTATGTGTGTAGTGTGTGATGGTGTGTGGTGTATGTGTGTAGTGTGTGATGGTGTGTAGTGTGTGTAGTGTGTGATGGTGTGTGTTGTGTATGGTGTGTGTTGTGTGTAGTGTGTGATGGTGTGTGTGTGTAGTGTGTGTAGTGTATGTGTGTAGTGTGTGATGGTGTGTAGTGTGTGTTGTGTGTGATGGTGTGTGTGTAGTGTGTGTTGTGTGTAGTGTGTGTGTAGTGTGTGATGGTGTTGTGTGTAGTGTGATGGTGTGTCTGTAGTGTGTGTGTAGTGTGTGTAGTGTGTGATGGTGTTGTGTGTAGTGTGTGATGGTGTGTGTGTAGTGTGTGATGGTGTGTGTGTAGTGTGTTGTGTGTAGTGTGTGTAGTGTGTGTGGTGTGTTTGTGGTGTTTGTTGTGTATAGTGTGTGATGGTGTGTGTGTGTAGTGTGTGTGTGCGGCAGGGTGCTTTATTGACCTGGTCAAGGCCTATGATACCATCAGTAGGCCTAGGCTCTGGGTTGTTCTTCGTGCTTTTGGGGTCCCTGACCCTCTGCTCACGATCATTAAGGACCTTCATGATGGTGAGCGGGCCCGGGTAAAACTACGTGGCCGGGAGTCAGTGCCATTCCCTGTACATTTTTGGGTGCGACAGGGATGTCCTCTGGCTCCCACATGATTTAACATCTATTTTAACCACGTAGTTCGTGAAGCCTTCAATAGCTGTACCGGGGGAATCTCCATTTGGTACAGATATAAAGGAAGGCTGATCGATGCCCGGGTGCGGTCAAGGGATGGCTCCCTATTGCTCAACCACGTTATGTATGCCGATGATTTGGTAATTGCTGCTCATTCAGAGGAGGAGTTGGAGACGCTACTGCTGAGACTGGAGCGTGCCACTAAGAGATGGGGCCTTACCATAAGCCCCACCAAAACTAAGCACCTGCCTGGGTATTTTGTATCATCGGACACTCCACCCCCACAACTCCCAATCGGTGATGGGACAGTTGTGGGGAGAGTGGAGAGTTTCCCATACCTGGGCAGTGTGCTTATGACTGGCTCCAGTTTAACAGCAGAGGTCTCACTCCGAATCAGTCGAGCGGCAATATCTTTTCATCGGTTGTGTAACGCTGTGTGGAAGCTACCTGGTCTGTCGCTCCGCACTAAGCTTCAGGTCTTCTCGGCCACGGTCATTCCCTCACTTCTCTACGCTTGCGAAACGTGGACCCCCCTAATGGAACATCTTCGCCGGTTAGAAACATTTAGGCTGGCCTGCCTACGATCCATCCTGGGTTTAACCAGACTGGATTGTGTGAGGAGCTCACAAATCCTTGAAAGATCTGGGCAAGGTCCCATCGGTGAGCTCCTCCGGCGGGCAAGGCTGCGATGGCTGGGTCATGTAGCCCGCGTGCCCAGCCACCGCATGCCGAAACAGCTTTTGTTCGGCTGGATTGAGGGGGCTAAGCGGGCGCGGCACGGGCTAGAGAAGAGATGGAGTGATGTGGTACAGGAGGACGTGGAGCTGAGTGGACTTGCCGATGACTGGTACCAGCGGTGTCAAGATCGGCCTCTGTGGAGGAGGCTCGTGAAGGACGCTACTGGGCAGTTGGAGGCAGTCGCCCTCCAACAACAACGGAGGGCGGAGGAGCGACGCTCAGAACAACGAGCGGAGCGCCGGGTGGCTAAAGCACAGCAGGTTGGCACAGTAGGGGGCACAGGTGGTGCATCAGCCAGTCATCTCAGTCGACCCGTGGCACCTGGGTCTGCCCCGTGACCTCCTGCCAGCGGGCGTTCGACACTTTACGTGGCCTCAGGGTGCACATAGCCTGGCACAAGCGTCGTGGTGACGTCACCGCCACTTAGTGGCGAATGGCGGTTGTTGTAGGTGTGTGGTGTGTGAAGCGATAGTGTCGCGGTTAGCGCTACGCTGCGCTACGAACCTGGCGATTCCCGCTCACGGCCAACACTAGTGACGATTATCTGAACCGGTCCTGGGCCTCCCCTGCCCCTAGGTCGACTCAGCCTCAAATGAGAACCCAGTGCGGTGTGTAAACGTCGCTCCTGGGGAGACAAAGGCGGCCGGGGGTGGTTCTGGCCACCCACCCCGTCGTGTGCCTTGCCGGCCTTCAGAGGTGCTACTCGCCAACAGCACTTGCCGCTACAGTCTGTTCAGGCTACACGGGGGATCTTTGTGCGTGGAGCGACGCTCACAACAACGAGCGGAGCCCGCGGGCGGCTAAAACACAGCGAGTCGGCACAGGAGGGCGGCACAGCTGTGTGCATCGGCCAGTCATCTCAGTCATCTCAGTCAACTCAGTCAGTCCACTCAGTCATCTCAGTCAACTCAGTCATCTCAGTCATCTCAGTCAGTCCACTCAGTCATCTCAGTCATCTCAGTCAACTCAGTCAGTCCACTCAGTCATCTCAGTCCACTCAGTCATCTCAGTCATCGCAGTCATCTCAGTCAGTCCACTCAGTCATCTCAGTCATCCCAGTCATCTCACTCAGTCATCTCACCCATCTCAGTCAGTCAACTCAGTCATCGCAGTCAACTCAGTTCTCAGTCATCTCAGTCAACTCAGTCAGTCAACTAAGTCATCTCAGTCATCTCAGTCAACTGTCAACTCAGTCATCTCAGTCATCACAGTCAACTCAGTCATCTCAGTCAACTCAGTCATCTCAGTCATCGCAGTCATCGCAGTCAACTCAGTCATCTCAGTCAACTCAGTCAACTGTCAACTCAGTCAACTCAGTCATCTCAGTCATCGCAGTCAACTCAGTCATCTCAGTCATCTCAGTCAACTGTCAACTCAGTCAACTCAGTCATCTCAGTCAACTCAGTCATCGCAGTCATCTCAGTCATCTCAGTCAGTCCACTCAGTCATCTCAGCCAACTCAGTCAGTCCACTCAGTCATCTCAGTCATCTCAGTCATCGCAGTCATCTCAGTCATCTCAGTCAACTCAGTCAACTGTCAACTCAGTCAACTCAGTCATCTCAGTCATCGCAGTCAACTCAGTCATCTCAGTCATCTCAGTCAACTGTCAACTCAGTCAACTCAGTCATCTCAGTCATCGCAGTCAACTCAGTCATCTCAGTCATCTCAGTCAACTCAGTCAACTGTCATCTCAGTCATCTCAGTCATCTCAGTCATCGCAGTCAACTCAGTCATCTCAGTCATCGCAGTCAACTCAGTCATCTCAGTCATCTGTCAACTCAGTCATCTCAGTCATCTCAGTCAACTCAGTCATCTCAGTCATCTCAGTCAACTCAGTCATCTCAGTCAACTCAGTCATCTCAGTCATCTCAGTCAACTCAGTCAACTGTTAACTCAGTCAACTCAGTCATCTCAGTCATCGCAGTCAACTCAGTCATCTCAGTCATCACAGTCAACTCAGTCATCTCAGTCATCTCAGTCAACTCCTCAGTCAACTCAGTCATCTCAGTCAACTCAGTCATCGCAGTCATCTCAGTCAACTCAGTCAACTCAGTCATCTCAGTCAACTCAGTCAACTCAGTCATCTCAGTCATCAACTCAGTCAACTCAGACATTTCAGTCAACTCAGTCATCTCAGTTAGTCAACTCAGTCATCTCAGTCAACTCAGTCATCGCAGTCATCTCAGTCAACTCAGTCATCTCAGTCATCTCAGTCAACTCAGTCATCTCAGTCAACTTAGTCATCTCAGTCAACTCAGTCATCTCAGTCAACTCAGTCATCTCAGTCAACTCAGTCATCTCAGTCATCTCAGTCAACTCAGTCAACTCAGTCATCTCAGTCAACTGTCAACTCAGTCATCTCAGTCAACTCAGTCATCTCAGTTAGTCAACTCAGTCATCTCAGTCAACTCAGTCATCTCTGTCATCAACTCAGTCAGCTCAGTCAACTCAGTCAACTCAGTCAACCCATGGCACCTGGGGTCTGTCCCACGACCTCCTGCCAGTGATCCTTCCGACACTTAAATTGGCCTTAAAGAGCACCTAGCCTGGCACAAGCGCAGCGATGACGTCACCGCCACTTAGTGGCAATTGGCGGATGTTGTTGTTTGTTATTATTGTTGTTGTGTGCAGTCTGGAAAACTCTGGCTCGGCGGTCCACAAGGCGGTTGACCTCTTAGCCACAGACCCAAGCCTGGGAGTGGGGGTTCCTCTGAGTCTTCGGCCGTAAATAAATCAAGAAAAAAGAGACATGACGACACAGAAGAGACATGACGACACAAGACGGTTGGACAACAACAGAAACATCAAAAGTGTGTGGTTGTTGTTGTTCGGGAAAATGGAAAGCCTCGGAAGGAGAGGAAGCGTCGAACAGAGGACGGCGTGACAATGACGACATCGTTAGAGATTTGGTGCCACAAAGTTGCGGCCACTTCTTGAGCATCTTGACACCGCAAGACGGAGAGGAGAGTGGAAACAAACGACGGCATTGGAGTGGGCACCGACTCGGGGCGATCTGCTGCTCCACTGGTCGTGATGACGATGAAGCCTGTGGAAGAACCCCGAGAGTAAAGATCTGTGATGGCAAGGACCCCCCCTCCCCACGTCCCGTCTGTTAGACGCGGGTCCTTCCATCACCGCATCGCATTCTCTAGCACAGTGGTAAACAAGCGCTGAACCGGCAGTCGAAACAAATATTCAGATTCTAAATGTGACGTTCAGGGCGCCCGCTGTTCGCGTGGCTCCTCGAAGCACGTGGCTCTGCTGCCTGTAGGAGGCAGCAGAGCCATCCGACTCGGAGGCGTGACTCCCTCGCTCTGAGCATTCTCTACAGGGAATCCTCTACTTACGACCGAGTTAGTTTCTCGAGGTCTGTTCGTACGTCGATTCGTTCGTAAGTCCAACTTTACTACTGTCGATTCCAAACGTGTTGTTCGGCATGTACAGTACTACTATACATTATATACTACACTACTATATACTACACTACATTATACACCACGACACTACATTATATACGACTACACTACATTATATACGACAGTATATACTACTACAGTACATAGACTCCTTTACTTACAAACGAGTGAGGATCCAGAGGGCTGTTCGTAAGTCGATTTGTTATTAGTCCAACTTTACTCCCGTCTATTCCAAACGTGTTGTACGTTGAGTACACTTAACACAGGGAATGGCTTTAAAAGTTGTATAATCGCCTGTAGATGCCACCGATTATTCACGTTCTGCAGATTAGATGCCACCACCGCCATCTATTGCGCGGTGGTTAAACTAACGACTCGACTTAGGGACAGGTTTGTTCGTATATCTGAAAGTTAGTAAGTCAGATGTTCGTAAGTAGAGGAGTCCCTGTATTTAGACTGCAGGATGAATTCAAGTATCTATACACTAGTAATAAATGAGTTTCAATATTAATGTATGCATATTTTGTAATTTAAGCAAAGGTATCTCTCGCTAAGGAGCATAAACCAGCACACGAAATCCGGTCATCCTCTACGCAGCAGCAGCGGCTTTTGGCTGGGCCATCAAACAAAGGTGGTGGTCACCGCCTCGCGCGCTTTCCAATGCGCTTCTGCGGCCGTCTGGAACGCTCTTCCGTCCGCTATTAGCAAGCCGCTGGAGCTACGCATTTTTAAATCATCAAGATTGAAAACTAATTTCTTTATAACTGCCTTTTGTGTTTAGTTTGTTGTCCTTCCTCCGCACCTGCATTTACCGCGGTTGGCTGCATACAGTACGAAATAAGTTCAACACGCACACATCGCCAGCTGCCACCGTGGCGTTCATGGTTGTTATCAGACCGTGTGGCTGGATGTGCAAAATTGTGCCCCCCCTCCCGCCTGTGTTCACCCAGCAGTAGGAATGCGTTCTCTGCAGGTGGTGAGTGCTGGGATAAAGTATGAGTTCGCCCACCTCTTCCACCACGTCTGAACAGCGTGGAAGAGTAGACCAAACGCCCTCTGGATCTCGCTCCAGTAGTGAAGGCTCTTTCCGCATGCAGACACTGCAGGGCTGCACTTGGAGTAAACCCTTTAACCCACATGTTACTTAGCCTTAGGCCTGCCGCTGTGCGGTCGGTACATTTGCACGCGCGCATCGGCGCCTTCATTTCTAAAATCCAACTGGAATCGACAGTTCCGTCTGTACGGGATCGAGTGTTTCCCCCTCGCACGCCTTGGTTTTCTGCAGATGTCCCGGTTTCCTCTCTACGAGAACGAGTGAATACCGCGCGGTACGCCTTTAACGAGTTGAAATAATAATGATGATCATTATCAATTCTGGGAACGGTTACCGACTTACCGGTCACTGTTCGACAATCGTCAGAGCGAGTGGCCACTGCTGTGTGCGTGCGGTGATGCGTGCGTCGCTTTATGGCAATGATTGCTCGAGTTAAAGAATAACTAGCGACCCGTGTGTCCACAGTGCAACAACCATCACACCACGCGCACATGACGGCATGCTGCAGAGATTAGCGGTTCCAATCCAGCGTTTGGCTCCGGTTACGTCTGCGGTTGTGTTTTTATAATATTAATAAAATACTACTTCTACCGTGCGCTGTTTGCTTCACTCACAGTGGACGTTAAAGGTCCCGTGGGGTCATTCGCAAGAGTTGAATGCCCTTTGCGTGCCATGTTACGGTCCACATTTGTGTCAGATTATACCAAGAAATGTACCTGCAAATTTACTATTGGGTTCACACACAGCAGCAGCAGCAGCATCAGCATTGCTCCTTACTGTGGAACTACTGCAGACTGTCTGTGACACACATTGGGCGCCTTGCTCTGTGACGACCGCCTTGCGACTGTTCATTGTGTAGTTGCAGAGCACGTGCTCAAAGCGTCCAGCGGCCATCAACAAGCAGCACTGCTGTGGTTGTGACACTTCTGAAGAGAGTTGCACCGCTCTTGACTTGAGAGTTTTTGGAAAAGAGGCGACGGGAGGGGATTCCAGGCGGTGCAGCCCAAGGGAAGACCCAGACGGAGAATCAGAATCTTTATTTAGCCTGCAGGATGAAACCGATGAGCTATGAAGTTCTTTCCCACAAATGTCTACGAGTGACACGAGGTCAGAGAGTGGCGAGGTGACCTGCAGTGTCGAGGTTGAGCGCGGTGGGGATTGGTGTTGGGGAATGTTGTGTCAGCGAGCAGCTGTAATGCCCGGCACAGACATACAAGGCGGGTGGGTGGCCGACACCACGCCCGGTTCATCTGCCTTTGTCTTCCCACAATGCTGACGTTTTACACACCGCGCCGGTCATTCATTTGAGACTGAGTCGACCGAGGTGGGAGCCAGGCCCAGCACGGTTCGAATATCCAGGCTCATGAATCTCATGCACAGACATCCCACGCCAGCCAAGTTAACACGAAGTTATCTCCAGGTGCACGCACACACCACACACCACATTCAAGAGACACACCACATTACCGCGCAAGTTGCCTTGATGTTTACCGTCAAAGGTAGTAATTGTCCAAACTTGTGTTTGGGTTCGGCTGCACGGTGGTAGTTTTTACGCCAAAATTCGTGTCGACAACCCTCAACCACCCAACAAGATCGTCACGTTTACATATATATTATATTATTGTTATGTATACGTGACAGATGTATTGATCAAATTGTGACCAATAAAGCTCCAGCTCACCGGTGGCTTAAGACGTTTCATGACTGAATTCCACATCACACGCGACGGCCACGTTTCACTCCGGTGGCGGATTTGACCTTCATCAGGTACAACAGACTCGGGAATCATTCCCTGGTTTCCAAGTTCATATCCGGGCTTGGGTAGGCCTTCATCCAGCAGTGGATTGGTCCAGGCTGATGATAACAACTCTGGGCTGTGTGTGGGGGGGACGACGACAGCATAGTCACTCGGGATGGTTAGTGACCTCTGATGTTGTCGTGTGGTCCTGGCCATTGTGTCGGGTGAGAACTTGACTCCTGAAGGTCTGTTGGACGCAGTGACCCAATAAGGACTGTTGTTTCAGGCAAGGAATTACAAGTTCCATTTAAGCTAAACTATTTTGTATTTTATTTTACCAGGTAAGTCCCACTGAGCTAACACAGCTCTTTAACAAAAGCGACCTGGCTATCGCAAATGAAGTGGCTTATCGTGTCGAAATGTATAGCAGCCAAATACTCCACACGCACGTTTCTAAACGAGAAACAGATTTGCCGAAACGCGCAGGTTTTTGCAGCCAATATCGTTAATTATATATTGATTTGTTCGGCCACGTTGCATGAGTTAAGTGGCCTAACCCATAATCTAATTACGAATCAAACAATGGGGGCATTATTAATCGCTTTAGGGGTTATCTGTTGTGGACCGTGACACCTTCGACGGAGCCCGGGTGATGTTCATCGCTCTCACTGGTCTCCGTGAGCTGTCGATGCTCTCAGCTGTTCATCGGGACAGGGTGAACGCAACTCGAGTCGAGACGACACGAGGCGAGAATGCGCTGCAGGCTCACGACACGACACGGTGTGGTGCATGGGCACGCACGTTCGTCTGTAGTCGTGCGTGTGTGTGTGTAGTCGTGTGTGTGTACACGTGTATGTACTGTGTAGTCGTGTGTGTCTGTGTACACGTGTATGTACTGTGTAGTCGTGTGTGTATGTGTATACGTGTATGTACTGTGTAGTCGTGCGTGTGTGTGTGTAGTCGTGTGTGTCTGTGTACACGTGTATGTACTGTGTAGTCGTGTGTGTGTGTAGTCGTGTGTCTCTGTGTACACGTGTATGTACTGTGTAGTCGTGTGTGTCTGTGTACACGTGTATGTACTGTGTAGTCGTGCGTGTGTGTGTGTAGTCGTGTGTGTCTGTGTACACGTGTATGTACTGTGTCTAGTCGTGTGTGTGTGTAGTCGTGTGTGTCTGTGTACACGTGTATGTACTGTGTAGTCGTGTGTGTCTGTGTAGTCGTGTGTGTGTGTAGTCGTGTGTCGTGTGTATCTGTGTACACGTGTATGTACTGTGTAGTCGTGTGTGTGTAGTCGTGTGTGTGTAATCGTGTGTCTGTGTACACGTGTATATACTGTGTAGTCGTGTGTGTGTAGTCGTGTGTGTCTGTGTACACGTGTATGTACTGTGTAGTCGTGTGTGTCTGTGTACACGTGTATGTACTGTGTAGTCGTGTGTGTGTGTAGTCGTGTGTCTGTGTACACGTGTATGTACTGTGTAGTCGTGTGTGTGTAGTCGTGTGTGTCTGTGTACACGTGTATGTACTGTGTAGTCGTGTGTGTGTACACGTGTATATACTGTGTAGTCGTGTGTGTCTGTGTACACGTGTATGTACTGTGTAGTCGTGTGTGTATGTGTATACGTGTATGTACTGTGTAGTCGTGTGTGTGTAGTCGTGTGTGTCTGTGTACCCGTGTATATACTGTGTAGTCATGTGTGTCTGTGTACCCGTGTATATACTGTGTAGTCGTGTGTGTCTGTGTACACGTGTATGTACTGTGTAGTCGTGTGTGTCTGTGTACACGTGTATGTACTGTGTAGTCGTGTGTGTCTGTGTAAACGTGTATGTACTGTGTAGTCGTGTGTGTCTGTGTAAACGTGTATGTACTGTGTAGTCGTGTGTGTCTGTGTACCAGTGTATGTACTGTGTAGTCGTGTGTGTCTGTGTACCAGTGTATGTACTGTGTAGTCGTGTGTGTCTGTGTACACGTGTATGTACTGTGTAGTCGTGTGTGTCTGTGTACACGTGTATGTACTGTGTAGTCGTGTGTGTGTAGTCGTGTGTGTCTGTGTACACGTGTATGTACTGTGTAGTCGTGTGTGTGTACACGTGTATATACTGTGTAGTCGTGTGTGTCTGTGTACACGTGTATGTACTGTGTAGTCGTGTGTGTATGTGTATACGTGTATGTACTGTGTAGTCGTGTGTGTGTGTAGTCGTGTGTGTCTGTGTACCCGTGTATATACTGTGTAGTCATGTGTGTCTGTGTACCCGTGTATATACTGTGTAGTCGTGTGTGTCTGTGTACACGTGTATGTACTGTGTAGTCGTGTGTGTCTGTGTACACGTGTATGTACTGTGTAGTTGTGTGTGTCTGTGTAAACGTGTATGTACTGTGTAGTCGTGTGTGTCTGTGTACCAGTGTATGTACTGTGTAGTCGTGTGTGTCTGTGTACCAGTGTATGTACTGTGTAGTCGTGTGTGTCTGTGTACACGTGTATGTACTGTGTAGTCGTGTGTCTGTGTACACGTGTATGTACTGTGTAGTCGTGTGTGTGTAGTCGTGTGTGTCTGTGTACACGTGTATGTACTGTGTAGTCGTGTGTGTGTACACGTGTATATACTGTGTAGTCGTGTGTCTGTGTACACGTGTATGTACTGTGTAGTCGTGTGTGTATGTGTATACGTGTATGTACTGTGTAGTCGTGTGTGTATGTGTATACGTGTATGTACTGTGTAGTCGTGTGTGTGTGTAGTCGTGTGTGTCTGTGTACCCGTGTATATACTGTGTAGTCATGTGTGTCTGTGTACCCGTGTATATACTGTGTAGTCGTGTGTGTCTGTGTACACGTGTATGTACTGTGTAGTCGTGTGTGTCTGTGTACACGTGTATGTACTGTGTAGTCGTGTGTGTCTGTGTAAACGTGTATGTACTGTGTAGTCGTGTGTCTGTGTACCAGTGTATGTACTGTGTAGTCGTGTGTGTCTGTGTACCAGTGTATGTACTGTGTAGTCGTGTGTGTCTGTGTACACGTGTATGTACTGTGTAGTCGTGTGTCTGTGTACCCGTGTATATACTGTGTAGTCGTGTGTGTGTGGAGTCATACTCAAATGAGTACAGTACCTGGTGAGTCGCGTAAAACATCGCCCCTGGGGAAACAAAGGCGGCCGGGCGTGGTGCTGGCCACCCACCCCCTCGTGTGCCGTGCCGGCCTTCATAGGTGCTACTCGCAAACAGCACTTGCCCCAACAGTCTGTTCAGGCTACACGGGGCTTCTTTGTCTTTGCAGTCACGCGTGGGGAGCGGTGGTGTAGCGGTTAGCGCGATGCGCTACAAACCCGGTGACGGATTTTTCTGAACTTGCCCCGGGCCTCCCCTAGGTCGACTCAGCCTCAAATGAGTACTTTATGCGGTGTGTAAATATCGCCTATGAGGAGACAAAGGCGGCCGGGCGTGGTGCTGGCCACCCAACCCCTCGTGTGCCTTTAGCCGGCCTTCATGCTCGGTATTCGCTAGCAGCACTTGCCCCCAGCAGTCGGTGAAGGCTACACGGGGGATCTTTGCATAATGAGGGAACTCCACTGGCATAGACGCGGGGGGAGGCAGTGAGGGTTGGCTCCTGACGTCCCACGCACTCGAGAGGCGCTCACCCCCCTGCTCCTCCTGCCCACACTGCACCGTGAGACTCCACCTCACCCCCTGCTCCTTCTGCCCACACTGCACCGTGAGACTCCACCTCACCCCCTGCTCCTCCTGCTCCTCCTGCCCACACTGCGCTGAGACTTCACCTCACCCCCCTGCCCCTCCTGCCCACACTGCACCGTGAGACTCCACCTCACCCCCTGCTCCTTCTGCCCACACTGCACCGTGAGACTCCACCTCACCCCCTGCTCCTCCTGCTCCTCCTGCCCACACTGCGCTGAGACTTCACCTCACCCCCCTGCCCCTCCTGCCCACACTGCGCCGTGAGACTCCACCTCACCCCACCCTCCTCCTGCTCCACGTCACAGTGGCGGCGGGGAGACTTCGCGTGCAGCAGCAGCAGCGGCAGGAGGAGCGGCAGGAGGAGGGTCCCTGACGCCGCCAGCCATGGGCTGTCCACACGTGGCGGGGGACAGGGCGAGAATCTCAGCGCCCCGCTCAGCACGTGCAGGCGTTCACCTGGGGCCGGCGAGGCCAGTGAGTGTCCACCACAGTGAGTGTCCACCACAGTGAGTGTCCACCACCACAGTGAGTGTCCACCACAGTGAGTGTCCACCACAGCAGTGAGTGTCCACCACAGCAGTGAGTGTCCACCACAGCAGTGAGTGTTAACCACAGCAGTGAGTGTTAACCACAGCAGTGAGTGTCCACCACAGTGAGTGTCCACCACAGTGAGTGTCCACCACCACCACAGTGAGTGTTCACCACAGCAGTGAGTGTCCACCACCACAGTGAGTGTCCACCACAGCAGTAAGAGTCCAGCGCAGTTGGAGTGACGTGAAACGTTCTGACCCGCCTCTACTGGACATCTGTGAAAAAAAGAGCTTTACAGCTCATCGGATTCCTCCGAAGAGGCGCCACCACCACCAGCAGCAGCAGCAGCAGCACAGTCGTTGGCCCTCTGCTCTTCACACCGGGAGGAAGATCGTGACACGGGGATCTCTCTGTGAACCTCGGGCGCCGATGGAGCTCCGCGCCCTGCTGCCCTTGCTGCTGCTGCTGCTGCCGGGGACCCCCACGGCGGCCAGGGGCCCCCAGGCCCCCCCCGACTGCAGATCGGTGCGGCGAGAGTTCTCCCTGCGGGAGGTGGGGCCCGAGAAGTGGGTCCCCGAGAGGGCGCGCGCAGGTGAGGAACGCGCGGGTGCCAGCCTCGTGCAGTAGTGCGAGCTTAGTGTAGAAGTACCAGCCTAGTGTAGAAGTACCAGCCTAGTGTAGAAGTACCAGCCTAGTGTAGTAGTGCCAGCCTCGTGTAGTAGTACCAGCCTAGTGTAGAAGTACCAGCCTAGTGTAGAAGTACCAGCCTAGTGTAGTAGTGCCAGCCTAGTGTAGAAGTACCAGCCTCGTGTAGAAGTACCAGCCTCGTGTAGTAGTACCAGCCTCGTGCAGTAGTGCCAGCCTAGTGTAGTAGTGCCAGCCTAGTGTAGAAGTACCAGCCTCGTGCAGTAGTGCGAGTTTAGTTTAGAAGTACCAGCCTAGTGTAGAAGTGCCAGCTTAGTGTAGAAGTACCAGCCTAGTGTAGAAGTACCAGCCTCGTGTAGAAGTACCAGCTTAGTGTAGAAGTGCCAGCCTAGTGTAGTAGTACCAGCCTAGTGTAGAAGTGCCAGCCTCGTGTAGAAGTACCAGCCTAGTGTAGTAGTGTCAGCCTCGTGTAGAAGTACCAGCCTAGTGTAGAAGTACCAGCTTAGTGTAGAAGTACCAGCCTAGTGTAGTAGTACCAGCTTAGTGTAGAAGTGCCAGCTTAGTGTAGAAGTACCAGCTTAGTGTAGAAGTACCAGCCTAGTGTAGAAGTACCAGCTTAGTGTAGAAGTGCCAGCCTAGTGTAGTAGTACCAGCTTAGTGTAGAAGTACCAGCCTCGTGTAGTAGTACCAGCCTCGTGTAAAAGTGCCAGCCTAGTGTAGAAGTACCAGCTTAGTGTAGAAGTACCAGCCTAGTGTAGAAGTACCAGCTTAGTGTAGAAGTGCCAGCCTCGTGTAGAAGTACCAGCTTAGTGTAGAAGTACCAGCCTAGTGTAGAAGTACCAGCTTAGTGTAGAAGTGCCAGCCTAGTGTAGTAGTACCAGCTTAGTGTAGAAGTACCAGCTTAGTGTAGAAGTGCCAGCTTAGTGTAGTAGTGCCAGCTTAGTGTAGAAGTACCAGCCTAGTGTAGAAGTACCAGCTTAGTGTAGAAGTGCCAGCCTAGTGTAGTAGTACCAGCTTAGTGTAGAAGTACCAGCCTAGTGTAGAAGTACCAGCTTAGTGTAGAAGTGCCAGCCTGGTGTAGAAGTACCAGCTTAGTGTAAAAGTACCAGCTTAGTGTAGAAGTGCCAGCCTCGTGTAGAAGTACCAGCGTAGTGTAGTAGTGCGAGCCTAGTGTAGAAGTGCCAGCCTAGTGTAAAAGTGCCAGCCTAGTGTAGAAGTACCAGCTTAGTGTAGAAGTACCAGCCTAGTGTAGAAGTGCCAGCTTAGTGTAGAAGTGCCAGCCTCGTGTAGAAGTACCAGCCTAGTGTAGAAGTACCAGCCTAGTGTAGAAGTACCAGCCTAGTGTAGAAGTACCAGCGTAGTGTAGTAGTGCGAGCTTAGTGTAGAAGTACCAGCCTAGTGTAGAAGTACCAGCCTAGTGTAGTAGTGCCAGCCTCGTGTAGAAGTACCAGCCTCGTGTAGTAGTACCAGCCTCGTGCAGTAGTGCCAGCCTAGTGTAGTAGTGCCAGCCTAGTGTAGAAGTACCAGCCTCGTGCAGTAGTGCGAGTTTAGTTTAGAAGTACCAGCCTAGTGTAGAAGTGCCAGCTTAGTGTAGAAGTACCAGCCTAGTGTAGAAGTACCAGCCTCGTGTAGAAGTACCAGCTTAGTGTAGAAGTGCCAGCCTAGTGTAGTAGTACCAGCCTAGTGTAGAAGTACCAGCTTAGTGTAGAAGTACCAGCCTAGTGTAGTAGTACCAGCTTAGTGTAGAAGTGCCAGCCTCGTGTAGAAGTACCAGCCTAGTGTAGAAGTACCAGCCTAGTGTAGTAGTGCCAGCCTCGTGTAGAAGTACCAGCCTCGTGTAGTAGTACCAGCCTCGTGCAGTAGTGCCAGCCTAGTGTAGTAGTGCCAGCCTAGTGTAGAAGTACCAGCCTCGTGCAGTAGTGCGAGTTTAGTTTAGAAGTACCAGCCTAGTGTAGAAGTGCCAGCTTAGTGTAGAAGTACCAGCCTAGTGTAGAAGTACCAGCCTCGTGTAGAAGTACCAGCTTAGTGTAGAAGTGCCAGCCTAGTGTAGTAGTACCAGCCTAGTGTAGAAGTACCAGCTTAGTGTAGAAGTACCAGCCTAGTGTAGTAGTACCAGCTTAGTGTAGAAGTGCCAGCCTCGTGTAGAAGTACCAGCCTAGTGTAGTAGTGTCAGCCTCGTGTAGAAGTACCAGCCTAGTGTAGAAGTACCAGCTTAGTGTAGAAGTACCAGCTTAGTGTAGAAGTACCAGCTTAGTGTAGAAGTACCAGCCTAGTGTAGAAGTACCAGCTTAGTGTAGAAGTGCCAGCCTCGTGTAGAAGTACCAGCTTAGTGTAGAAGTACCAGCCTAGTGTAGAAGTACCAGCTTAGTGTAGAAGTGCCAGCCTAGTGTAGTAGTACCAGCTTAGTGTAGAAGTACCAGCTTAGTGTAGTAGTGTCAGCCTCGTGTAGAAGTACCAGCCTAGTGTAGAAGTACCAGCTTAGTGTAGAAGTACCAGCCTAGTGTAGTAGTACCAGCTTAGTGTAGAAGTACCAGCTTAGTGTAGAAGTACCAGCCTAGTGTAGAAGTACCAGCTTAGTGTAGAAGTGCCAGCCTAGTGTAGAAGTACCAGCCTAGTGTAGTAGTGTCAGCCTCGTGTAGAAGTACCAGCCTAGTGTAGAAGTACCAGCTTAGTGTAGAAGTACCAGCCTAGTGTAGTAGTACCAGCTTAGTGTAGAAGTGCCAGCTTAGTGTAGAAGTACCAGCTTAGTGTAGAAGTACCAGCCTAGTGTAGAAGTACCAGCTTAGTGTAGAAGTACCAGCCTAGTGTAGAAGTGCCAGCTTAGTGTAGAAGTGCCAGCCTCGTGTAGAAGTACCAGCCTAGTGTAGAAGTACCAGCCTAGTGTAGAAGTACCAGCCTAGTGTAGAAGTACCAGCCTAGTGTAGAAGTACCAGCCTAGTGTAGAAGTACCAGCGTAGTGTAGTAGTGCGAGCTTAGTGTAGAAGTACCAGCTTAGTGTAGAAGTGCCAGCCTAGTGTAGAAGTGCCAGCTTAGTGTAGAAGTGCCAGCCTAGTGTAGAAGTGCCAGCCTCGTGCAGTTGTGCGGGCTTAGTGTAGAAGTGTCAGCTTAGTGTAGAAGTGCCAGCCTAGTGTAGAAGTGCCAGCCTAGTGTAGAAGTGCCAGCCTAGTGTAGAAGTGCCAGCCTAGTGTAGAAGTGCCAGCTTAGTGTAGAAGTGCCAGCCTAGTGTAAAAGTGCCAGCCTAGTGTAGAAGTGCCAGCCTAGTGTAGAAGTGCCAGCCTAGTGTAGAAGTGCCAGCCTAGTGTAGAAGTGCCAGCTTAGTGTAGAAGTGCCAGCCTAGTGTAAAAGTGCCAGCCTAGTGTAGAAGTGCCAGCCTCGTGCAGTTGTGCGGGCTTAGTGTAGAAGTGCCAGCTTCCTGCAGTAGTGCCAGTCAAGTGCAGTAGTGCGAGCCTAGTGCGGTGTAGTTCCAAGTGAGTGTGGTGGGACAGTGCCCGCCTCGTCTGGTCGTACCAGCTTAGTGTAGCAGTGCAGCGCCAGCCTCGTGTGCTGTGGTGCTGTGGTGCTGCACTACCGCAGGATTAGAAACGTGCACTACCAGCTGTGCGGTGCGCTACATCAGTCGTGGAGTTGTCGATGCTGCGTCCCGGCATTATGACGCTGACTTTCCCCCCAGTGGGAACGGCGTTGATGATGTTGTGGCACTCGATTTGCGGGTTGTGCAGTTCACGTTTTATTGTGTGTGACACCTCGACCCTCGGCCGGTCAGAGGGGTGACACCGTCGGGGTGATACCGTGGGGGTGACACCGTTGGGGTGACACAGTGGGGGTGACACTGTGGGGGTGACACTGTGGGGTGACACCGTTGGGGTGACACCGAGGGATGACACCGTGGGAGTGACACTGTGGGGTGACACTGTGGGGTGACACCGTGGGGTGACACCGTGGGGTGACACCGTTGGGGTGACACCGTGGGGGTGACACCGTGGGGGTGACACTGTGGGGTGACACCGTGGGGGTGACACTGTGGGGTGACACCGTGGGGTGACACCGTGGGGTGACACCAAGGGGTGACACTGTGGGGTGACACCGTGGGGGTGACACCGTGGGGGTGACACTGTGGGGTGACACAGAGCTATAACAACACGGAGGAGGAGTGACACTGGGTATACGCATCTTGTAGGCAGTATTCGACCGAGCCCTGCACTGCCACTGTGCTGTGTTTTTGTAAACACACAACACACTACACACACACCATCACACAATACACACACTACACACATACACTACACACACTACACATACAAACTACACATACACACTACACACACACACTACACACACACACACCATCACACACTACACACACACGCACTACACACACACACTACACACACCATCACACACACACTACACACATACACTACACACACTACACACACACCATCACACACTACACACACACACACCATCACACACTACACACACACTACACACACACCATCACACACTACACACACGCACTACACACACACCATCACACTACACACACACACTACACACACACCATCACACACTACACACACACTACACACACACCATCACACACCATCACACACACACTACACACACACACCATCACACATACACACTACACACACACCATCAAACACTACACACACTACACACACACCATCACACACAATACACACACACACTACACACACACACCATCACACACTACACACACACACTACACACACACACCATCACACACTACACACACTACACACACTACACACACACCATCACACACTACACACACACACTACACACAGCAACTGTGTATTTGTCAATACAGTTGCTGACTTTCTGAGCACCGCTCCAAAGGCCCACGCGGCTTTGCGGCTCGCAGCAGCACTCTCAAAGTTGCGATGCGTAAGTGTGAACACC